GCTTTTTCAGACGATTAATCTCTTTCTTGTCTGGACAAATAGGGGGTATCCTCACATATACTGTACATATGATATTAGATCAGGAAACAGACAAAGAAAAATACTGAAGAACTTGTCCTAGAACAGGATTTGGACATTTGCTGTTTCATGGTACAGTTGTGCTTCATTTTTGTACATGTAAACTGTGCTCAACCTGCAAGCATCTGCTCTTGCCCCCTTTGTGGTTTTTCTGCAGTGAAGTAATTGCCCAGTCGCCTTGCACTCATACTGTGGCGCGTTGTTAGGATGGGGCTCAAGAGAGGGGCTGAGTCTTGTTTAAAGCCATCCGAACACAGTGCACTGTTTGCAATCAGCCTAGACCAGAGTTTGTGCTTGAACACACCCCTAAATCATAACTAAGTGGATAATGGAAAACAGCAGTGTCTATAAGCTGTAATTGAACCACCTTATAACTTCACAATTAACAATAAGAAAACTTTAAAGAAAAGGTCTTTTCATGAAAAAATGAACATGATTATGTGAATCATATGCTTTTATTACCAAGTACCATATACATAACATGAACAGGCAAACAATTAACAAAACTAAGTGCGTGTTGGTTTTCAAAAGGAGCTGTTTAATTATGTAAAAGGAACAACAAAAACACACCTGCCAGCCAAGTTAAAGTCTCACAAGTGCTCAGTACTTGGGAACATGTACTGTAGGCTATTGTGTTTAGGAGCCCCAGTACTGCTTCTCAAAAACATTTCCTCCATCAGTTTACACTGAAATCAAGTGTCATACTGAGCGATGTTTCCTCATCTATTCTTTACCATAGTGGGCCTGGGAATTAATATTGTTGTATTGTGCATAGTAAAAAAATGTTAACGGTCATCTGTGTCATCGCAAAGCATCTGTTGCAAAATCTTTGGAGTTTATACAGTTTATAGTATGGTACTACAGTTAATTAATTTTGCATTTTTTTTAAGGTAAAGATTATTACTGACAAACTGTGTTGCCTCCTCTCTAGTTCCTTATCTGCCTGCAGCTTTTTATAATTCTGTTTTTTCACTGGATAGTCTAACATGATATCAAGACAACTGTGGCATTAAGACTATCATGTTTCTGTAACATGATGATAGGAGCGCACTGCTCTATTGTCACTACAGCAATGGATTTCTGATCTTAGAGCTTTAATTTTGATTTAATTTACAAATCACAACCAATTACATATCGAGAATTGGCACAGATTCATCACATACTCTAATCTGTCTGTATGAATTTACTGCAATGTGCTTCCCAGAATGTGGGTTATTTTCTATTTTATTAATCTGAACTGGTTGTGTCGGTTCAGCACATAACATGCTGGACTGCTGCATTAATTAAAAGCTGCTTAGAAACCAAGGTGGAGGCTGCTGTATTAAAAAGGGTTTCAGTTGCCACTACAGAGATCTGACATGATTATAACCCTTATGGGATACCCTATAGTGAGCATTTCAGCAGCAATTCAACAACACAGTTTCACATATAAAAAATGGGTGAATATTACAATATTAATCAAACTGTTTTACAGCTATTGATTTGGTAATTTATTAGTTTATTAAGTTAAGATAATTTATTAAAAAAAACATCACTATAATGTGCTCATGGTAAGCTAAAAGATTAGATTTCAATGAAATAACACAAAACATTTAAACAGTCCTGTTGCTCAAACATAATATAACAGAGGCAGGTAATGTTGTGGTTCTAATAAAGGGAGCACATTCTCTAAAGTGCCATTGTCACATACAGTTTACTTTCATGAGCGAATCGGTGAAATACAGTGGACCTTTTCCATGTAAAGGCCACAAAGTTCACTTTGTGAGTTAAAGAATCAATTGTCTGAAGGTCCATAACATAAGTTACCTAGGAATAAGGATGGGTAAACACTCCCGTGTCTAGACGTTTATTTTGCACTTCTGAGTCGAGTCACACCAGGAACAGTGACACGAGTTGCCATCTTCTTATCCTTTTGGGTTCCTTTACAGCTTCAAAAGCAGGAAGGTTTATTTTATTAGCTTGGCCCACATTTGTAAGAATTTGACTTTTCCACAGTTCTTTCCTGTGGGCATCCCAGAGAGAACTACCCTGGATTTTGGTCATGGTAAAGGCTGTTTAAAATCCAGTTAGTGATATTTTTGTTTATGCTTTTTATTTGTTTTCCAGGATCTAAAACTTCTAAGTCAACATATTAAAGGAATGTTGATGTAAAGCTGAATGATTTAGGTTTACATGTTTTTGCAAGAAGTAAGATATCTTACATATTTTGATTCTCGCCTCTCTAAAGTCATCTCTCTAAAGATTAGATTATTAAACATTAAATGCTGGCATGTCTTCTACAATTTGGCCAGGATTTGAAAACGTTTTTAAGCAAGACAAGTAGATGGAAATGTATTATATGAGTTTCAAACTAAGTAGTTTCTTGTCATGTGTTTTGGAACATTGTGGTTTCCACCTCCAGCTGAAAGAATCAGAGATGACGGTTTCAGAATGAACCGATCAATCACACATAAGGCATGGGGTGTCATTTCATAGTTCAGTTTAGAAAAAGAGTTTTCCTGTTTAAGTTGCATTGTTCCTAGCCCCCTCAGCTTGTCTGTACCTCCTCTGTTTCTGTCTCTCTGCTTGCTGATTTTTTTTTTCTGTTTCTTTCCTTTGTACCCGTTCCCTGTATGTTGGCCCTCAGACTTGGAGACCTCAGTTGACAGCCGGTACACGACGGACAGTGCCGACAGTGCCCCTTTTGCTCGCCGATACTGATCCCTGCCCCTTCCCTCCTACCCCCTCACCCCACCCCAGGCGTTTTCCCAGCTCCCTCCTTTTCAAACCTGCCATCTTCTTCTTCAGCCAGCGAGCCACACCTCTGACTTCCTCTTCCCCAGAAGTCCTCCAGCTTGTCCAGGACGTCTTCACAGTGTCCAGGAGTGAAAACACCTGCCTTTCCCATTTTTCTCCCTCTGGGTTGAGTTCTGCACCTCTTCTGTGAATCTAAACCTCAGAGTTGAAGTTCCTAAGACCTACCACCTCCCCTTTCAAGCCCACCAACAAATTTCTGATTACAGAGCCAGCATCTAAATGACCAATCAGAGAGCTTGTTTGGTTTCTTACTTCCGTTAGTTTCCAATCTATTTCTGGTTCTGGTCTTATTTCATTGCCTGTCTTTTTATCATTCTGTATCTTACAAGAAAAAAAACTGAAGCCTTGGTAGGGAGAAAACTAGTGGTCACTTTTCCTTTTTTGCCTGTGACATGTCATTAACAGGAATTTGGCCAAAGGTCTTTTCTTTGTATATGTTTGTTTTGTCTGTGTGGGTGTAATCTGTTGTGTAATTGTCTTCGCTTTTATAACAGATAACAAAAGTGTGGAATGGGTGGGTTTGTCGATATTTATTATGGTGTTAATAGCATTATAAATGTATTTTGGTAACAGTATTTTTAAAGCAAATGTTTATTTTTAATAAAGATTATTGCTCATCAGTACTTTAATTTAAGGATGCTTTTCATGAATGTGGCATGTTTTTTTTCTAAATCTTTGTGTTGTCTTTTTTTAATTTTTTCATTTTTAAGTTGCAATGAAACCAAGGACGCATCCATATAAAAGGGAGTTCAGTCCATCTTGTTACTTTGGTGGTAGTTAAGTGAATATAAACCCATCCAGCTGCTTCTTGAAGGAGTCCTGAGTTAGGTCCTCAAGCACTACTTTCACATACCTGCGATTCTTTTGTGTAAAAAAGGGTTTCAGTTCAATCCCTTTTACTCTCCACTACGGCATTGTGTCTCTACTGACCCTGAAGTTGTCTCTTGCATAGACCTTTCTCTTTCTGTGCCTCTTACAATTTTATATACCTGGGTCAAACCTCCTCTGTCCCCTTTGTTCTTGAGTGAAGAGGTTTACATCATGCATCTTGTCTCTATACGATACCTTGAGGACAGGAATAATAGGAAGATGGCGTGCATATTGCATGACAGGCTCCCAACATTTCTAGGCTGGAGAAGTAAGACATAGCAGGGCTTTGGGGCTAGATCAATCTCATTATTTCTCCTTTACCAATGCTTGCTTTGCAGTGATGCTTTTGTACAAGTAGATGGGTCAGCGTTCTTCACCTTTGGAGCATCCAGTTAATATGAATTTAGGTCACATTATTATGTAAACTCATTGGGTAGGAGTGGAGACCTGGCTTGCCTTAACGGGTGGGAGTAAACATTATCATTTTGGATGTATCATCATACCCCAGCTAGGTTAAAGGATTCCACTGGGGAGATTTAAAGTAAATTTATATATAATTAATACATAAGGACAGAAATGCATGGCAGGTGCATTAGATGAACCACAGAATCCTTTGAAAAAAGGCTTTTGTATAAAAGGGAATTTATTATGAAGGTAATGTGGTTAATTTCTTTTGTACTTGAATCATGACTCTGTAGTAATAAGTTTTAAAGCAAAATTAGGCTTTGGAACAATTGATACCTCAAGCCCACAAGCATTCTCTCAGTTGTTTGTTTGAAGTTGTTGGCTTGGGTTAAGACATTCAAACTCCTATTAAATGTTGTTACATTTTTCTCATGAGTAAAGTGCATTCATTCTTCTGTGTGAGGGAGATTCCTTTTTGATTCAGCGCTGGCTGGAGTATGTGTTGAAAATGCTGTTTAAATCATAAAAAAACTGATTCATGTACAAATTAACATGAACAAATTATTAAATTGGATGAATTCCAGCTGCTCCGTAATTGCTTTGTTCACAAAAAAACTCAGCTGAAGCACACTTTCCAGGAACTCTTAGTACAAGGTTAGAGAAGGACATTGGAGTTACCTCTGCTTCTCAGTAACGCAGTAGTGTCCTGGCACAGTGTCCAGAGAACGCTATACACCCCAGGCACCCACCTTGATGCTAGCAGTGCAAGATGTCTGGACAGTGCAGATTTGTGTGTGTGTGTGTGAGACAAAAAAGTGAGGAGCATTTCTCTAATGGTGACAAAGCTCGGTCCTCAGATCATCCTCTTCAGTGTGAAGAATGAAAATGCCGGGAATACTCCATTGTCCTGTTTCTTGTATCTGCGCAGGTTTTCCCACGATGACTCGGACCCGGGATTCCTACCAGTCCATAGACCAGCAAGACTCGTCTCCAGCTCCAGGCCAGCAGTCCGGGCAGGGGGAGGGGAGAGCCTACTGAGAGGGTGTACGAGACAGAGGGGGGCCCAGTGATGTGCTTTCTAAATTCCCAAATTCTGACTTTGGGCTGGTTTGTTGTACATCCAACACTGTTGCATCTTTTTAATATTTCATATAGTATTTAATCACGTGCCCTAAGATGTGATGTGTGCGTATAGTTATCTTTATTTTAACACTGCACTCTTTCACAAGCTGGTAGATTTGGCCTGAGTATCGCCACCAGATACTCACTTGAGGAAGGTACAGTACATAGTGTAACTACATGTTTTGGGTTCTACACTGAATCATTTTAAATGGCTAAGCCTTTGTTAGCAGGTCTCTGTCTGTGGTTCTGTTTTCATGTAGTTATTCATCTTGCGTATTAAAACCTCAGAACAGAACGTCATGACATGACCAGTCAAGCCCTAGGACTTCTTGAGAAGGAAGAACATGCTGAGAGAGAGCAATCTGCAGAAAGTACACGTGTGCAAAACGAAAGGATGGTATTGTGCTGTTTAAGCTTCACTACATACTGTAGCAGGTGGTTGCTGTGCTTGGCTCTTCTTTACCTATTTGTCTTGGCCCTTGTGTTCGACTGCCGGTTAGCCCTGTCTGGGGATAGGTTTGTTGAACTTGTGAGTGGTAACTGCACAGTTATATTTCTGTGGAAGACTTAATTTGCCTTTATTTCCCTGTGGTATGTTTGTCAGTGCCAGATTTTCTCCCTTCCAAGCTAGCTGTGTGAATGAACTCCAGTGAAGCTGAGCACAGAGGATTTTTATGACTTTAGCCAAGTGCTTTGTAAGTGGACAGTTAGAGCTATTTGAATGTATTAGAGAAGTTGTTCAGCATTATCAAAGAGCAAACTATACTAAAGTTTACTGAAAATTTTAATGTTGTAATTACAGAAAACTTAAAATCAATGGTGTAGTTCTTCAGAACCTTGTAGCACATTAGGTACTGACTTCAAATCCTTTGCACTAGGTTTTTCTTTGCAGCTGAACTGATGGCAGACACTTAAACTGGTCTGTTTTTTCCCAGAGCTGTAAATTAAAATGACATATTTTACTCTTGGAGTAATGCAGAGATCGGAGTTTTCTTCGAATGTTTCAGAATCCTCTAACCTTGAGTTTAAGCTACAGGTGGAAAGTTGAAGACATTGGAACAGGAACAGTTTCTGACCTGCACTAGACAAAATTTGCTAATCTGTTATACTGTATCATTCCCGCCAGGCTGAGGTGCAGACAACTACGTGCCAATTATCTCAGCAAAACAAACTGCTTCTGATCATGAACCAGAGGACAGCATGGGCCACAGTGGGCAAATTGTAATCAGAAGCAGTTTAGTGATTTGCTGTTGCACTGGTTCACTTGTCTTCTCTGGCCTTCAGTGCAGTTACTCAGTTATATGTGAGTGAAGGAAAAGGTAGTTGGGTAGATTTGCAGAGGGCCTATGCAGAAGTAGGAGGCCACTGCTGTCTACAGTTTCAGTCTGAATAGAGATTCAGGGACCTGTATCTTACTGAAATATTGTTGTCTGGCCCATTTATGTGTCTATATTCTCTTTCCTGGAAGCGAAAGTATTAGCAGTGTTCTCTGATCATCTGCGAACTACCTGTTAAGGTTCCTTAGTGCTGCATATGAACCTACTTGATTCATCTTTGCCACAAAAGCATAAAAATGTAATCTAGTAAATTTGGTATGTGCCTCTGGTTTCATTTGTCAGGTGCACATTAATATTACATGCTCCAGTAACCGTAACATTAAGTAACTTAATCTGTATTACTTCATTTGTTGCAATTGTTTATCCTTCCTTTTTGATCGTAGTGTTGCAGTCCACATAGTCTGCTGACAGCAAATAATAAAGGTTTGTCCCACTCCTGAACAAGCCACAGGGAATTAAAAAACCTCATCAAAAATATCGCTCTACTTCTTTCTCCCAATAACATTGTTCGGCCCTGCTTGTGTACTCCTGAAAGAGTAGGCTGAAGCACGTTGAAAGGGTTTTGTAATTTCTTTCAAAATGACATCCCGCTCCCTTTCAGCTGCTTGTGTTCAATTTAATACACACATACCTTAACTTATTTCCAAGTATGTTTTTCTCTTTGATGAGCAAGGTACAGTATGTTACAGAGCAAGAAGGAATAATCTTCTCGGCGCTTTGATTTTCGGGTTGAGTACTCTTCTCTTCTGCTCGTTCTCATCAAGCACATGGAATCTTATTAATGGAAGGCTGATTCTCAGGGTCCTGACCTCCTTAAATGCACTGCATTTTAAATTTAGATTCCAGCTTGCCTTGGTCTTGTTTGTTTTTCATCTTACATTAGTGCAATTACTGGTTTCCATAGGAACAGTGTTCTGTGTGCACATGAATGGTACATTTGCCTGCTTTTGCTTCATTTGTATGTATTTAACTTTGGGGGGAAAAAAAGCATTGTTTGCTTTTTTAATTTGTATTAATAACCGCCCAGTTCCAAATGCCTGCTGTGAGGTTTAGTTGAACTCGTTCGGGATGAGAAGCTTTGCTTTCAGCAGAGCATTTGTCTTCGTCCAACTGTTCTCAACAGCAGAGACCACTTGAGTTCTCAGGAGCAGACCAAGATTCCCTGGAAAAAATATTTTTTTCATAATCCATAAAATATGACATTCTCACTCGAAGAAACGTTTTGCACTCATTGTTGGAAAGGCCTTGACTTATAGATTGTCATCGGGCTATTCAGTATTGCACTTGAATAATTTATTACTATTGTAATGTTTTCATTACGAACGCATGGAGTTGTGGTGCAGAATGAACCCAAGCCTGCATCGGAGTGATTCATCCACTCTCTTCACTTCACAAGTTATCCACTCTGTCACCTCTCTCCAGAGAAACACTTTAGCTTGTCTGAAGGCGTCATCCATTTCTGCCCCCCATATGTTGCTCAGGATTTTTTAAGCGCAGCCAGTAGTATGATTGAGGGTTTTGATTGTCCACACCCTGAGAATTATAGTAGGTCAGGGGGATCTCAGTGCACTTTGGAAAGTGAAATATTGTCTTCAAGGACTGAAGCCTTTTCAAAGACACCGTTTGTCGTAGGCATACACAGCTTTTTAGCGATGTTGAGGTTACAGTAAACTAATGAAGAAGGTCTGCCTACTGCTCACCATGCATAAAGAGACAGAATGTCAGTTATTGACTGCCATGCTTGCAGGTTGATGCAATGCTTATACACAATTCAGGGGTATTGTATGTGGTTTCTAAGATCCTTTTATATGTCTCAGAAGAGAAAGTGGGTAGTTATGTTCTTGCTTCTCTTGCCTGTGAAAACACATTACTATTAACCCAAGAGAGCTTTGCAACACAGATGCCCTCTGTTTCCTGCCTAAAGAAAATAAATGTTCCAGGAGTTTGATTGATCTTCTTTAATGGGGATGAGGCAATGACTTAACAGATTGTCCTCTTAACTGCCACATTTTTTTCATGCTTTCCCATATCCCATAAACAGCTTGACTGCAGGGCTTGGCTAATGTATTTTTGCAGAAAGCATGAAATTCCAAATGTGTCATTTTCAGTAGCTGTTGCAGTCAATGGGCTGTTTATATAGAATGCACATTTTATTTTTTTGCAATGCGCAGATTGTATCTTAAAGGAAACTCTTCATTTGATATGTTCCTTGCTATTTAGCATGTCATGATTGTTCCAAAAATTGCGTAGTGCTGAACGTTTGACAGAATTCAGAAGTATATGCAGGCAATGGGAGATTTTACTGCAGTTAATGAAATGATTGTACTTGCTTGCTTTTGATGCTTTTCCACTGACAAAGCTACAGTATGTTACAAGATTCTTTCTTCCACAGCGGATATAAACTCTTTGCTTAAAAACTGTGTTCATCAACTAGCCCTGACTTTTGTTGTGTTTATATCCAAAATATATTACTTTTAATGGGAGGCAATTAAGATGAAGCAGAAGCTTTTAATGTGATTAAACAGAGCATGGTTAAGCTCGCTTGTGAACAGATTTATTAATCTTCCTAGTTTTAAACAGCATTTGAAACTAACATCTTTCTGTTGTTTTGTCGAGTTGTGCTTTAGCAAAAAGAAACCACACCATATAGTTTGAGGCTGACTCTTTGCTAGAAAAAAAGTTCATGATGTCTCAGATTAGATTTCTCAATTGCTTCTATTATATATGTGCCTGGTGTTCAAGGATAGTTTGATTTGTGAATTTTATCTGAGCGTTGTCAGTACTGTATTGAGGAATGCACTGTGTGTGGGAAAGCACTGCAATAACCCTGTTCAGGCAAAATACCTGAATCAGAAGAAAAGACAACTTTATTTGACCCCTAGGTCATAACGACATACGGTTTGTGTGCACAGAACATTCTACTTAATTGTGTGACTTTAAAGAAAAATTTTGTTTTTCTTTTTTTCAGACATTTGATTTTGAGTTTGTCATGGCCAGTTGGAGCTCTCATAGTGAGTTTCCATTTACCACAGAAAAGAGCTAACTGGACATTCCCGGCTAGGATGATAAACTTGTTATTTGGAAGTATTCATTCAAAACCTCAGGGACCGAGAGATCCCTTCTGTTCAGAAACTAATGTTAGAGCTGAATTCTGTGCATTTTCCTTTTCCTCTCTTTAATACTGTCTGACTCTGCATTCTTGTGCAATGCTTCAGTAATGTTAACGGATCCAGAATAAGTGTTTATGCAATAATGCAGGTCCCATATTGGCAAGATTACATGCTATATGGTGTTAATATATGGCAGTAAAGGCCTAAGGCTAGGTCATGTTGATCAGCTCAAATTTGTATAATTTCTCAAACATTTGTTCAGGCAGCCTTTCTTTGACAAGGAAGAGGCTGATGTCCTGAACTGGCTGAGTGTCCTAATTACCATCACTGTGTAGGATACTGTGCAGTTTAAATCCAGTGAAATACTGGAGTTTTGGAACAGTGGGATGCTGGAATACTGTAGGTATTGTACAGTGTACTAGAATAGTATAGATTTCTGAAAATGGTGAACCCCAGTTGTAATGAGATATTTTGTGAGAAAATGAGCTTTCCTTAAGTTAACTGAAATGTATTTATACTTTAAATAAAGTTTTTGTCACGAAACAGCTGTATCACTTTTTTTGTTGAGCAAGATTGATTTTCCTACATTTTTCTGTGTTTTTCCCACTCTGGTATTTTTATTTCAAAAAATGATTTCAATTCTATTTTTTGGTAGGGCTTTAAACTGTTGTTGCCTCCATCAAACCTTATTGTGCTAGACAGTGAATACTGTGCACAGAAGGGCTCTTTATGGCTTTGTGAATGCAGATCTTGGCTTCCTTGGGTTTTAATGACGAATCCATTAGTTGGGGAAAGCCATGCTTTGAATGTTAATTGTGGGGGCCGCGCTGCTGTATCCGACAAACATATCCTCCGCCTCACAGTGTCTGTATGGCAGGCTCTGGGCCCCTCCTTCTGAAACTGACAGTCTGAGGTCTTAATTAATGAGTGAACATACTGTTAATAATTCATGTGCAAAGACAGTAATGAGCTTGCAATGCTAAGGTCAGAGAAAAGAAGGCCGGCAAATTAACAGGCCGTGGTTTTATTGCTGCTCCTGCCTTTTCATTGGTGAAAGGGGGCCTCCTCTCAGCCACAGTAATTTAACAAGGCACATGTGCATGGTAGCCTCAAAGTCCTCTCCAGAAATCCCACTGTTTAATGCACACTTGGTTACATTTCAGCTGGGACAACTGCAGTGATTCTAACTACTAAAGGCAATCCTTTAAAACATGTTATAAAACTGGTTGTTAATTACCTTGATCTTTATATTAAAAGGGGGTATATTAAATCTCTTTTTTTTTTTACTAAGCCTCATATTTATATTTGGCCAAATGCTCTTTTTTTCTGAATTTCCCCTTCAGTTGGTGCTGTGTCAACAAGATTTGCTCGTTTTGATAAGAGCTGAGCAAGAGCATCATTGACTTATCAGCGGGTGGCCTGCTGCCATTTGGGCTTATACAAACAGACTGACTTGAGCTTGTCTGAGTGTATCTTTTTCTGAGATACAATACGCAATGTAATTGGTGTTCGTGTGTATATATGAGTTTGTATGTTTTCCTTCTGTTTGCATTGGTTTCCTACAGGTGCTCTGCTTTCCTCCCACAGTCCAGAGACATGCTGGTGGGCTAATTTGCTCCAGGGAAAACTGGCGCTGGTGTGAAAGAGTGTGTGTCTGTGTGTGTACGATGCATGGACACCCCAGACATGACGTGTCCTGCCTTGCGCCCCTTGTTTGTCAGGTTGGGCTCTGGCTCCCCGACAGCCCTGTATTGGATAAAGTGGTTGGAAAATAAATGGTGCCTGTAACTGCTCTTCAGTCTAAAGCAGGTGAGCATTTTTGATGAGCGAGTCTGGTGTGCAGACGAAAAGATACTGTACACAGCTCATTCAGGAGCGATGATGTCATGGCTGTCTTCGCCTCCACACCCTTCTGCACAGTGTTTCAAGCTCATCTCCCCGTCCAGTGGTGTTTCCTGGCAAGAATTTGGCATTATAACAAAAAAAAGGTTTGTAAGAGTTACATCCATTCCACAATGTTAAAGTCAGTATAGTGTGTTGTACATATTAATATGAGACCATTTGCACTACAGAGCCATTGTGTTATTATTTAAAGATTTTAAACCTTTAAAAATCTTCTTGGATTTAGGCTTGTTGAATACAAACAAATTTCAAGAGGAATTTGTAGGCAAATTCTATCCCGTAGTGCTCGTGTTATTCAGTCTCCGATCAGTACAAGTTTATAAATACATTTCTCCATTTTTCAAACGTTAATTTTCTGAAAGAAGCCAGCTGCAGAAACTTATACTGGGTGCTTTTTATATGGTAAAAGACATGATATTACATCATTATTTTAGATATGAGTATTCAATCTAATTTTATATGTTTAACAGTTGAACAGACTGTATTCCTGCACCTTTCTGGATCGTGATCTATGTATTTGACCACCCAATCATTCATTTTCCATTTCTGTAGCTAATCTCTGTTTAATATATAGGTACGTGTGCTCAGTACATTTCAAGCTTTCGAACTGCATTCTAGTCCTTTCATTTTACTTAAATGCATTTTAAGCTAATGAATTTGACTTAAAATGGAATAAAGTCCATTTTGTTCAATTCAAATGCAGGTGCCTACCAAAACAATGTTATGTTTCATATTGATCAGTTATATTTGAACTGGTGCGCAAGGGACATATAAACCCATACTCTGCTTCTCCTTTGCAAATCACTCTTATTTTATTACGGTTTCTTCCTATAAATTCCATCTCAGACGTAATTTCAGTAATAATGTGCTCTCGGCCCAACACTGTGAATACGGTATAAAGCATCTGCTGCTGTAACAGGTAATTGCATTGTAATGGAAACTACGGAGTTCAATATCCTAGCTGTGAATTATACATCATTGCTGTTACGGCTCGAGCAAAATTGCCCTGACCAGCCATGCTGCACCCTAATTTTGATTGTTATAATTATTATGATTTTTTTTCCACAGGGCAGAGAGCCCAAGCAGTGTCCACAGGCACTAACAGTTATACTGTCAATTTGCACCTCGTCACGGAGGGTAAATAGAAACCGCCGATATTAGAATGCGATGCCTCATTAATTTTAATGGCCCAGAACGCGTCTTCATGTTATGAAAAAGAACCCGCTCAGTTATTAGAGCAGTGTCACTTGATTGTACAACCTAAGGAGAGCGGCAGATTAAGTTATGCTAACGATCGATTTCTCCAGACCACAGGCCTCCAGCTTTAATAATGAGAGAGGTCAATGAGCAGAAAATCACGGGCATTCCAGAATGACAGGCAGCTGGTATCTCGTGATAGGCCTATCACTTTTCAAAGTCCCCATAGATTTTATTTTCATTTTTATTTCTGACCACTTTCCATTGATATCTAGGATTTCTTAAATTCGTCAAATGACTCTGTGTCCTCTCCTTTTTAACATGAGCACCAATTAATGGATTTTGTGACCAATTGCATTTTTTTCAGCAATAGCAATAAATACAATAAGAGAATATAACATCCTAATGAACATTTCTCCTTCTACATTCTCCAGCCTTCTCCAAGACCCACAACCATCAGTCTCAAGCCTTCACTTCAGTTACTGAAGATCCAGAACTCCGTTGCACTATCACCGGCATCATTTATTCTGGCAGTGGAAACTCCTAACACTAAAAGGAGAAGATAAGAAACACACTTCCTCAGGTGTGAAGAAGGCTCCACAGCCAAAAAGTTGTGTTTCATTTCTTCTCTTTTCAGCAGGGAATAAACCTTTACTTTTCCTTTGCAGCCTACGCATGCTGACCCAGCTACCTACTCGAATAAAATCCAGGTGCTATGAAAATCGCCTGGCCATGTGAACAATTCACCTCTGGGCATTCTCAAAACAATTGCACAAGAGTGTCAGATGTGTTACAGGTACAATATTTACACAGCGGGTTTATCCAGTATGTAATCCCACATGGCATCTATTGCTGCTGGTATGACATGCTTTGGGTGGCGGTTAGGGGTTTTCCATGCACTAAATATATTTTCCCCACCTGCATTGACATCAATGAGAGGAGGAAAAGAAGAAATCAGAGAACCGACTTGGTCAGTCTCCTGCACAGCACAGGAAGTGGGAGGAGCTGCTAGGTGATCTCATGCATCACCGTGAGTCCGATTTGGGTTCTGTGGACTGGGAGTTCGGAGCTGATCCGGGCCGGGGTAGACAGAATGTGACGGATCGCGAACCGTAGAGAATGGAAGAGCAGCAGCAGCAGCAGTGTGGTAAGTAACGAAGAGGAATGATTTCAGTAAAGGAGAGGTCGCATTTCGCCTGGTGAAAGTGGGTCAGGAACACCTTGTCGTGCGTGCAGTGTGCGATGACTGCTTCTTAAAACAGTTCTCAGTAGGAATATGGAAAAACCAGACAATGACAAAAGTGCCCGATGAGACGTTCAGCTGTCGCGATTACCAAGCCTGCCAGCCAGTTTTTCCCTCTCCTTGCAGGTATCGGGTCTCCTTCCCTGGTGTGTAATTAATCTCTTCAGTCGCTGTACTTACTAGCTTTCATACATTTGTAGATTATGATAGGTAGCTCAGTGGGCTTTAAACTTTGTATATAATGATCCATGTGATCAGGCCTGTGTCCTCTAACAAGGATTTTGAATCCAAAAACAGTGGAACCACAGTTATCTCAATTAAATGAGAGCTCTTCAGATTTCTGAACAATTCATCTATTTGGGAGACTCCTGCCTGCCTTCATAAATGAGTAGCTATGTCTGTAAGGAATGGGAAAATGGTACATGTAAAAGCTCTGAGAACAAAACGGCAAAATTTACTGCCTTCCCTCTCAGTTACATTTGTACCACAATGGATTTTGTGGGACACACTGACTCGTTTACTAAAGCTGAAGTCAGCTGTCCCTTTTAAATGTGTTTTAGCGTCATTACAGTTGTTCCATTCACATGCACCTGGCAACAGTTCTACAGTTTTTTTCAGCAATCTAAACATGCCTTTCTGCAAGCTTTGCCACTCTGCAAGTGTCCTGCACTTGGCGTTTACCCAGATTTCCCATAACTGTCTATGAGGGCATTGTAGAGATTGATGTAGGTCATTGCTCATCACAGCTTTTCGTTTTCAGGTGTCATTTGCACAGTGATTAATGGACACATTTAATAAAAGATTAACCTGGAGTTTGTTGTCACTTGTTTTTTGGCTGCCTTCCAACAAGCAGTTGCCTTGGTACGTGTTGTGTGACTCCTGGCTTTGTCTGTGTAATAATTGCTTGCATTTTAAACAGCGCTTTCCATCCTAAAGCAGTCCATATGTAGGAGGAGACTCATTTCACCCATCCAGGTGGTACAGTGTCCTCTTTGGAGATGCATGGCAGCTGTTCTGTGCCAGCTTCTGCAAGTGTAGAAGTGAGGAATTACTAAAAGGAAGCTAAGCAGGAAATTGAAAGCAGATTAAGCAAGGCAAAAGTGGAATTCAGCCACGATTCCAGGGTTAACACCCCTACACTTCTAAACGTGCCATGGAACCTTTAATGACCAAGCACGGTGTCCCCTGTGAGGGAGTTCTGGGAATTGCTATGGAAATCCTGGAAAGATACGTACCATGTACTCCCATCCCAGCACTGACAAAGCCCCTTGCTTGGCTACCAGCATTTAATGAGATCAAGCTGTAAGGTAATACTGTATATATTCTGATCATAGCACTGTATATATTGTAATTGTAATTTGATAAAATGGGAGAACTACCTGATAGGAATGAAAAGAGCTCTCAAAGTGTTATTCTGCTCTGTGGAGACTGCCGCCACATCCTTTGAGGTCTTAATGTAATCACACGGGTGGAGAAACGCACCGGGCTGCAGTAATAGCTCAATAAAGCCTTACATCTGTGATGTAAGGATCTGCTTCTTTTCATTTCAGACATGTCATGAAGACAAATCAGGGCTGTAAAAAAAGAGAATAATTTGTATATCTGGCTGAGAATGTAGTGCCAATGTCTAGTTAGTTTATAGTGAACATTCAAATGGTGGTGAACTGATTGTCCACTCTGTCTCAGAAAATTGTTCTTTGTTCTCCGTGTTAATGGAGTTTTCCAAATGTGTTGCACTGGAATCCACAGGAAGGCATTAAGAATTCCTGCAGGTCTTTATTAAAATCCTCTGGTTAGGCCCTGACAACTGTCCTGTAGGTAAAGTCTTAATCATCCAGTTCCACACAAGCCTTCAGAATTACACTGTAATCATTTCACTTTCATCTTCATGCCAGCTGGAACTGAGTAAGTGTCTGCTGTGGAATTAAGCGCTTTATGCTAATACAGAGCTCTGTTGGACATTTCATTCTTTCACAAAATTTTCGAGCAGATGAACTAGGGTTTCCTTTGCCGTTCCTTTCTGCTTTTTCCTTTGCAGATGTATACTGTACAGCCACTCTTTAGGTTGAGCCCTGTGCTTTGAGAAAAGTATCCCAGCCAGGGCATTAACACTTTAATCTCCACCACAGTCTTTGCAAACTATTGACAAGATGACCTTTAGAAATGCAGAAAGCTGCATCATATGACCATCACTGGAAACCACACTGTAATTGAAGCCCCGGGGAACTTTTTAGAGCAATGCATAGACAAAGGCAAAAGGAGGAGAACGAAGATGTGCATCACTTAAGGGACTACGAACATCAAAAACATACCAATTGACCTCTTAACCTTTCCCAGCCTGCTTCTCTTATTCCCTGTGGATGTCATGAGAAGGGCAGTCGAGAATCTAATTAATAACATTGTTGATTGCTGACTATCCTGATACCTGAAAGCTGGAAGGTCACATGTAGACAACATCCATTGTTACGCTCTAGTCTTGACATGGCTACATGTGTTTGCTTTTGGCATTGTTTGCTCATTTCAAACCGTTCACACCCCCTTTCCTGATGGAATACAGACTCCAACCCCACTACCTGCAGCAGTGGGAGTGCAGGGGCATCAGCAGGCACTCCAATTGAAAGAGACATACCGCACAGAGCTGCAGGGAGGCTGTGTGAAGGAAGCCAAGCTCTAGATTGAGGTGGAATATGGATTAATGTGCCTGCATGAGGTTTAACAAATTGAGAACGAAACAATCACAGTTTGTCAGAGCTGGGGGTGTTTTCACAGGTGTTCGCTGTAGGTTTGTTAAGGGGTGTGTGGAAAGGCAAGCTTTAGCACTGGAGCTTTTTTGTGTGTGAATTTCACTGTAGTGCAGTATAGATGGTGGGGGGGTTGCTTGTGTTTATTTGCCTTTATGCTCAAAACTGAATCAGTGACTGAGGTTTGTTAGCTTCTGATTTGCTTTTCCTCACCTCACCTCACAGTTTAAGGACCTTGCAGTGTGTAATGAAAGCAGGTTAACCTAGTCGTGAGCATGCTTAAACCAAAGGAGGATATAAAATATTACCACAGGGACATGCTGGCTGTCGATTGATTGATGAAATTCATCACTGCTAAACCGGGGACTGATTGATTTTTAATGAGCCTGAACCCTTGACCCAAAAGATGTGTGAGGCTTTTTTTTTTTACTTTCTGGCTTTCTGCAGGATATTCTGGTCAGGTGTTTTCCTCCCAGGGCTGCTGAGGATATTTTTATTTTCTTACTGGTCCTATCCTCTTTCATTCATTCTCACATACTGAACTTGTGTTTAGGCATTCCCTGTTGTCTCCTGTTTTGTAATCCAGATTGCTGAAAACATTCCCCTAGTGCAGAAACAGAAACTGACATTGGAGAAGACAAAACAAAGTCCTCTTAGCCTATTAATTAGTTTTTACGCTGGGCAATAATCTTTTGATATGTTGTGGAAGTGCCAGTTCTTGAGCAGCTAGGCTTACAGTATTGTTCAGCCTTCATCCTGTTGCGGTAGTTTAAGATGATAGTCGAGGATGTTTCAAATTAATTACTGTTTTAATAGTAAACAGCTTTTTTACTTCCTCTTGTTGCTATCAGGAAACAAGTCAGTACCTTGATTTATATTTTGTATTACATTGTTGTAGAACATAAATATTGTTTATGCAGAACATAAATATTTGGACTTGGGTGCTTATTTTAAAAGACATTTATTTGCTAGAGGAAAATACCAGGACTAAAAGGATAGGCAAATAATGCTGCAAGTGGGCATGTTTGATGCTGGCAGACCGCGGATGTGTAAGGCAAGATGAGTGTTGGAAAGGTTTCTTCTCATCCCTACTGGCAGGGGGCGCTGTGTCAGAGTGGCACTCAGAGACATGCAGAGAGTTTTGAAGGGGTTAAGAAGAGGTTGTTATTGGGAATCGGCTTTCCTCTGAAAGATAAAGACACTGACATGAGATAATAAAAAGAGAAAGCTGGACATGGCACAAAAAAACACTAGATACAAAATGGTGCATACAGAAATATTCGAATATACAGAAACTAATCCTGGCATATAATGCAGGGCCTGATGGGAACACTCACATGAAAGATCAGTATTTATGCAACAGGCATGGAAGCACAGTGGGGAAAAGTGGACAAAATTAACTTTTATGTCTGTGTTTTTCGTTTTTACCATACAAGATACGAAAACCAGTGCATACATAAACCAGGTAAGGGATGAGATTAGCTCCGGTCTGCAGGGGAAAGTACGATGAAATCTGCAGAGACATACTGTAAAACATGCACGGTTAGAAAGCAGCTACAGAAGAGGAGAGGCAGTGACTGACAGCCTCCGCGCTGCCTCTTTCTCTACACAGGGCGCAATCTCCAGAGGAGCTGGCGCCGACAATAACACAAGCGCCAGGGCTGCAGGCGAGACACGGAGGAATACGCTCCTTCATCTGCGGGAGATGGGGAATAACGACTGAAAACGACTGAGCTTGGGGAGAGGCAGTTGGTTGTGGTGGTGTGTTGCAGACACAAGATAGTCCATATTAATGGAACATAGAAAACAACTGCCGAGTGTTGGGAGTCATAGCAACAAGGACTTTTAGTGGAGAACAGACTTGTAAGCATATGAACCATATCTTGGCTCTTTTCAAAGTTGCCTCTGATGTTTTGATCCCCTCTGTCGCATTTTTATTAGTCAGTCTGCTGTGTCCATTCAGTCTGGATGTCAGACTCTCCTTCCGTTAAAAAAGCAGCAGTACTCTTTCATTGATGGAGGAGGTTGTATAACACACTTCGTGTGTTTGCACGTATTTGCCTTGCTGTTTTTTTTAGGATTCAAAACTTTTTGCTGGTATCTCCCTCTCGTGGTAATTGTGATCAAGTGCAAGTACTGAACAGAATATTTCGCTTATTACCCACAAAAGGATGCGTCGTCAGGTGTGTTAACTCTAGGCAGCATGCTCCTGTGTACTACAACAAGGAAAAGTATTGCATTTTTATTAGAAGCATTTAATTTTTTAGGTAGTGTAATAAAAATACTTTTATTGAAATAGATCTTGAAATGGATAGACGCATAGTTATACGACTGTATGTGAATTATATAGGGGATAGGTGTACTACAAACGTTCACAAAATAGAAACGGAAAAATACCCTTCTTCATTCGACACAGTGACTGGCATTGTCAGAAATAATTTGAGCGTCGTTGCAATATCAATAACACGAACGAGAAATAGTATTTCAGGAAAAAACGTACGCCTAAACAATGTGTCCCCATTAGCACTGAGATTTCAGAAGGGCACAAAAAAGAAATTTGATGTTCAACGTCCATTACGGAGAAATCGAGCTTTCAGTTGAGTGATAAACTCAATAAATACATAACACTGATGCCTAGAACTGCTCTTCGGGAATAATCTTTAATCTTCACGTAAGTCCTAAAAATGTAGATGTGTGCACTCATTTCCCCCAGCCTCTTACAAGCGTAAACGCGATACCTCGCGTTTCTTTGAACTGTTTCCTAAATTGTGTTTAAGGGTGCAACGAAAAACAACATTTTTGCAGCTCGAGTTGAAGAATGACGATCTATTGCTGTGCGGCAACCAGCCGCTAGGCGGCAGCAGAGAACAAGGCCCCTGCAGAAGGCGGCTGTCACCGAGAAGCCGGTGGAATAATGTGAAAATCTCGCGATGCTGCAGCAGGGTCTTCGGTTTCCAACATGGCAGGTAGTAAGTTCGTGCTGGAGGGGCGAGTAAGTCTGATAAGCTTCGTTTTAGGACTCTGTGTTGTGTTAATACCCTTGTTTACGGAGGCGGGGGCGCACGTTGAATGGGCACAAGACGTCCTAAACGGGCTGAACGGTAAAATAGCGATAGTGGTTTACATTGCAGTTGTGAATGGCTTGCTGCTAATCCTGTACAAGGGACCCCTGTATAAGGTAAGACTACTTACTCTCCCCGTTCTGTCATATGTGCATGTACGTGCAGTGCATTGTAGATATTTAGTATATTCTGGTGGTTTGTAATGGATTTTATTTACTTTTTCTGCTGCATGAAACAGAATAGCTCGTTTGCTCGTGTGTGTCTCTGGGTGAATGCTACAAACACGAGTTCGTCTCTTCTGTACTCCTTGTCTACACTTCAGTATCTGGGTCAGACATCTGCTTCTGTCTGGCCGGAAATCTCTCTTAAACCTGGCTACAGTCCTTATATTTAGCTGCCGATTACACCATCTCTTCTCTAAACCTGAATCAGATTAAACACATTTAATTTAAGTGTGTAACTGATCAATAACTCCAATTAGTATTTCATTTTACTTGTTGGCAGTTGGTCCTAACTTGATTCTTAAAATATTACATTCCCTCAGTTTTATATATTGGTCTTCTTTCTGACTGAGAATGCGTCACGTGTAGCCACTGGCCGATTTTATCGATGTTTAAATGAATGGGGGCTTTCTGTGTAAATATTATATTACGCTGCCCTGCGAGGTTCTGCTTTAGAGACAATTCCCTGCACAGTAATGTGTAAACCTGATCGCTGCCAATGCAAGAGCGAATATTAATAATTCTGTCTCCAACGAGAACTGTAGCTGCCTAATAAAGACTATCCGGGCATCTTCCAGCTTCCTCTGAAATTAACATTCGTTTTGCCTTCCAATGCAGATGATATACACTAACCTGTCTGGCATCAGTGCAATGCAATAGAAGTTACCAGAGCGATTGTATGGAGGAGGTGAAGTTCAGTTTAGAAACAGACACGTTGCAAAGAGGAAGTGGTTTTGAAAAGCAGTGGCACTGCAGTACAATCTCTAAACTATTAGATTATTGTTAGTATTGAGTATTATTCGTTAATAATAGCGAATAATATTAGTTTATTGAAGCATTTATAGGAAGCCTTTATATCACAACATAAGGCAATTGCAGTTGCATGGTCATGCGTGTGTATATATATATACACAGAGCAGGGAATTTTTCTGAAGCACTTTGAGTAAAGTGTCTTGATGAGGGGTGCTACTTCAGCATCCCACCAGGATTTGAACCTGCAACCTTCCAAGAAAGGGGTCCCCAACCTTAAACATTGCTCCAGGCTGCTGCAGGTGTTTCTGAGGCGGACGGCCTGTCTGAAAACAGGAGAGAGATCCGTTTGAAGGAAAGCGTTTGGATTCTTCCACGAGCCTGCGATGGCTTCTTCCTAGCGGCGGCGGTTGTGCCCTTGTCCATGTGTCCAGTCCTCAGCCTGTCCTCTCTGGTTCCCAGGTTGCGGTGCGAGCTGGTTTCCTGGGCTTTGCCTTCGGCTGTGGCTTGCTGATGAGCTTTAGCCAGACATCCTGGAAATATTTTGGCTGGTAAGTGGTCGCCATGGCATTTATATGATCAAGTCTGTTATTACCACTGGCGCAAGCTCCTGTAGGGGAGCCTTAGGCCTTTTATGAGATTTACAACTGGATAGAAACACTAGTGTTTTTTTTTTCTTTGTCAAGCACTGAGCACATCAAATTCAAATGTTGGCAATGGATGTATTTCAATTAATAAAAACAATAAAATCTGACGACAGAATTTTATCTCAAATCTCCCTGTCCTTCACAGTGACCAAGACCTGTGCTTTATCCTATTTATCCTGTCCTAGGCGCTAAGTAAATAATCTCCTCGCATGATTGTATATGTTACCATGAGCTACTGTAATTACAGTTGTACCAGACACGGGCAATAATGATATTTTAAGGTATCAGTACCAGTAAATTATCATCTGTGAGTGGTATGGGGTGGCCTCACAAGTAATATAATGTCCCAGGTGTGATAGTGGAAATTAAGTTTAGGAATATTGAGAACGTCTGAGAGAGGCTAAGCTAGAGCTCTCTACCGTCAATTCCTGCCAGGATGAGGCCACTGTGCACAGAGATAGGTTTGTTTTATAATATTATAATAATGACCTTTGGCTGTGGGCCGCCAATGTGGCATGATATGTTTCTATTAACGTACTATGAGTGTGGGATGTGAAAGCTTGTGGGAACTGCTGTAAGAGATACTTTAAGAAATAGATGGAAATCTTAGATCATTCATCTGCTACCAGCCTAGTGAGCCAAGTGTCGTCCTTTGGTAGGTTCTTGTAATCATGGCGTACGCCTTTCAAAGGGGAAATGAGAAGGATTCTGAGAAGCAGGACACTTGAGTGTGCAAAGGGCCTCTTTCACTGCTGTCCTGTCTCTGCGCTTCACAGGTACATGTGCTCCCTCTCCTTCTTCCACTACTCGGAGTACCTGGTGACGGCCATCATCAACCCCCACAGCCTCTCCCTGGACTCCTTCCTGATCAACCACAGCCTGGAATACACCGTGGCTGCCATCTCCTCCTGGGTGGAGTTCACCCTGGAGAGACTACTGGTCCCAGGTCTGTCCACACACTCTGGCCTGTTGGCTGGCAGACCTGAGTTCAGATCCGTTGATGAAGGTTGTTCGGAGAGTCTTAGGATTGCCTTCACCCAGTGCTGCTCACAGTTTGAAGAGTGCATTGTCTTCCTTGAACAGCTTTCACAAATGCATTTGAATCCAAGTCTTGTCTTTGTGGTGTCATTTAATTTTGAAACTTCAGCTTCAGGCCCATTACCTCATCTAAACACTTTCTCAAAAGTCTTCAGCCTTGGATGATTAATGAGACCTATAAAACTACCGGGAGTCAAATCGTCGGGTTTCCAGTCCTGTCTCTTCGGCTTTTCCTTCCAGCTGGACTTTGTTAGTTTAGCTCATTGCAGCCCTTAAAGTCAACTGTTTGTAGTTTTAAACTATTTAATCTCTTAAATAGTGAAACAAGGTTAGATGTTTTCATGAAACTTGCTAGCTTTCAGCTCTCCTCTCAGTTATATTTGTTTCGATGGCTAAGTTCCAGATAACCAATTGACACACTAACATTTGCATTCCATCTTGTGTGCATATCAGTTGATATTCATTGATAAGTCTTTAAAAGTTTGAAATACAATTGTTCATTCACTTGGAATGAAAGCCAGAATATACTGGGGTACGCATGGAAGAGTTGTGGTAAGGCTGTCATACTTCAGTCCTTAGAAGCGCCTCACAGTCTAGCTCATAAAGCGCTTCTTTGAGACATGAGAAAAAAACCTCTCATGCAGGTATCTGGGGCTGTAGCTGTGCTGCTCTAAAAGGGGCTTGACTAACAAAAGGAGACAGGTACTTTGTTTCGACAGACACTAGAAATCTAAAATCATGAATTTGTCACACTACTATTGTAAAATGCATCATTTTCGTATAAGAAAGTACTGTAGGTCTATCAACATCTCCAGTGCTAAAAGAACATGGAGAAAGGTATATGGTGCATGTAAGCCAGTAATGAGCTGGAATTGAAATCTGCTGACACAGCTGCCTTCCAGGGCTGGAGCCATGCGCCTCATTCTAATCCTGTAGTAAACATTGCCAAAATGTCCTCTCTGAACCTCAGCTTTTATTTTTGTAATTCAGATTATAAAACTATTTTGTACAACACTGGGGTTGAGGTTCCTGGTTTGAAGCGTCTAATCAAGCAAGCTTCGTATAGGGAATTGGATCTTAACCTCCATGTTTTTTGTCATAGCATAAAAAAGTGTGTAGTTAGGTGCCGCTTCAGTCGGAACCAGGACTACTTCTGACGAAACCGTGCGGGTTTTTACTTCCTGAATTGCTTTTTAATTGTGTTTTCTCAAAATAGGGAGTGGCAGTTGTTAGGACAGTTTCTGGATTTGTTTTTATTGCTTATATTGAATCTTTTCTGTTTTGATCTGTCGCATATCAAACATATGCAACCCCCAGTCTCGACAGCTTTACTCAAGTGATGAAGACGTGGTGTTTGAGTGCCCTCTCCATTGTGCCCTGTCCTTTGTCTCGCTTCCTTCAGAAATGAAACAGCTGGGCTGGCTGAGCCTGCTGGGCCTGCTGATGGTCCTTTTCGGGGAGTGCCTGCGCAAGTCTGCCATGCTGACCGCTGGCTCCAACTTCAACCACATTGTCCAGAACGAGAAGTCCCAGAGTCACGTCCTGGTGACCACTGGCGTCTACTCCTGCTTCCGACACCCCTCCTACGTCGGCTGGTTTTACTGGAGCATCGGCACGCAGGTAAGCCCTCCTCCTGCAGCACAGTCGGGCTGTCCTCCAGCGACTCCAGCCCTGCACTGTATTGGCAGCTTAGCGCAGGCACAGGATTAATTGATCATTTTGCCCTGTCTGAGCAGACAGACAGTCCAGGTGTCAGTGAGGAAGCTGGGAAGTTGCACTGTGTTTGAGGGTGGTGGGGAGATTTAACCTATCCTTAATAAAGCAGTGCTGTTGTTTAGTTAATTTCCTTTACACATGGTTTTCTTACATATGGCGTGCATATAGACCTAAACGGCCTAATTTATTGCTGGAAAGTTTTTACTGATGCAGTACTAAGTACTCATACATTTTTCATTGCGGCCATGGCGTCCTGAAAACTCATCGGCGTTTGTTACGTTGCCCATAAAGTTTATGTTCGCTTTAGCAGTGACGCATTGTAAGGAATGTCAACCTGTTATTGCAAGAGCTCTTAGAGGAAATATTTCATGCGCGAGCCTGCTTCCATTTATTAAGTTGTCCTACATAAATCTTTATTCGGCTTTTCAACACAGCCATCGAAATAGACCACTTTGTGTTCCCCTGTAACGGCAAACATTTCCAATCCTGCAGGCTTTATAGGTCTGTATCATTTGTCATGTGCTTACAGGCCTGGGCAGAGGGATACTTTTTCAGATAAATGAGGAATTCAGTAATAAACAAGGCCAGGACGCAAAGCAAGCCTAGAGGACCCCTTGGTTCCCTGTCTAGGGCTCTGATCCCACACAGATCCCTCTGTCCTCGTGCCCCTGTGAGCTGTGCTCGCTCGTGTCTTGCAGGTGATGTTGTGTAACCCGGTGTGTGTCCTGGGCTACACGCTGGCCTCCTGGAGGTTTTTCAGGGAGCGGATCGAGGAGGAGGAGATCTCGCTCATCCATTTCTTCGGGGAGGACTACCTGGAGTACAAACGCAAGGTGCCCACGGGCCTGCCTTTCATTCCAGGCATCAGGGTGGAGGCGTAAAAAACGCAAAGACTACAGACTGGAGCTGTGAGAGGAAAGCAGCAGCAGCAGCCTAGTAACTCTGCGCCTCGCTTCTCCGCTGATCACCCAGCGAGCAGAGGGACCCCTGAGCTCATCAGAGACCCCCCCCCACCACCACCACCCATGGCACATCACAGGACGGGGGTGGCCAGACTCTGACACGGCCACATTGCACCTCTGGGCATCACACCAAACCCTCTCCATGAGCGACTCCTTTCTTTTCCAGTGTAACTCTTTAGCAATTAGAATTTCAGGACCGGAGGCACTGTTGATTACCTTTTGTGTGCTTTTTTTTCCCAGTTTCTCACCCTTGTTCTTCCTCCTGATGCACTGAACCTCATGATCTATCCCCCCCCCCACCCAATCCTCTCCTTTCACCGGCGGGAAATGTGCCCTTCAGGTCTTCCCCAGCTGTTCTTAGCTTTTAGTACAAAGTCATGCTAGCCAAGTCTGTCACCTGCCTGTTTACGGTTAGATGCATGTAGGGCTTGTTCTTTAGACTGATGATTGGGTCCGTGGTCCAGTCCCTGGTAGTCCATGTACTTCTGGAAAAAAACTTCGCATCAGGTTACAGTTTTACAATTATGTTGTACAATAGTACAACAGAAAAACAGAAGAGATTGCTGTTGTCTGTTTTGCTCTGTATTTATGGATGAGCAACCCCAGCAGGTCTGTGCGTGCTGATCCTTGAAAATAGTTAAATATTTGAATTTGGTGTGTAAGTTTTGTAAAATGGCTTGAGCTCTGTCACATCGAAGGTGACTTGTAAATTGAAAGACACTGTACCAGATATTATGTTAAAACATGGGCATATGTTTTAGTATTAATGACTAATAGGCTTATTTTTAGCCAAACATGACCAAATTACAGTCTTTCTGTTATAGTGCCCCTTTCTCTTCCTCCTGCTTAAATTCCATTTTTTATTTCTAGTGCTTAAGGCTTTGATTTGCCTTAAAATATAACATACATCGCAATCATAGACAATCAAAGTAAACTTTTTCCCATATCCTCTCTTTATATCACAGTGACCTTTCTTTAAAAAATGTCCCAGCTAGCAAGGGGACTGAAAAACATTTTGGAAACCTATGGGAAGAAATGTGCTTGCTTTGTGAAAATATGCCGATCTGTGCGAGACCCTGGACTATTTTGCCCAGGCTGAGATCGGGTAACATCCAAGCGACCTACACATGGCATGTTGGAAACTCCCGAATCTGGCTGGTACTTGGTACTATTTTAATAGTTCTCATTCCTGTTCTGTCTCAGTATGGCTGCTGAGGTGATGTTCCCCACCGCTGAGAACCGTAGTAAATAAGATCCTAGTTGCTGATTACAATTTAGTTTTTTTTTGTTATTTGGTCAAGATCTACTTCTTGATTAAGACTGAAATGTCTTTTCTATGGCTCTGTGACTTACTTTACTTGCAGTGGGCCCTTGTTTCATTTCCTGGGGATAATATAAAGGAAAGACCCAAATGCACACAATTGGTGGGGACTTCCCATTGACTTTCACAGTGTTTTCATTTACTCTCTCCACTCCACTCAAATGAAGGTCTGCACAGTATGAAATTTGACCCAAACGTTCTCTTCCTTCGTAGGGATGTGCTCATGTCGTACGTTCACTGGGGTTGGGATTCTCAAATTGTCCTCACATTAATTGGAATATACTGTAATGTTTGCTCACATGTCTACAGTCTTTTCAGCTCTAATACTGCAGGATTGTGGGATATTGCCCTTCTTTCCTGACATATGAGATGCCAAAGTTTCTTCCCTCACCTCTCAGGGCACGTGCTTGTTTCTCGAGAAGCTGGAGCTTCTCACAGAGTCAAGGAGAACCACTGAGGTGTCTGTTCCAGGTCCAGATTGGACAGTAGTTACTGATATTGGTACCACTTAAGGGGCTGCAAATTGCACTTTATAAGTCAGTAAAGTCACATTGTATTTAATAACCTCGCAGTTGATCAATCTGAGTTCAAGTTTATGGTAGATTGTTAGCACTGTTAATGTTTACTCCTAATATATAATTCCTAATAAATGAAAATTGCAGCCCCTGTTTTCAAGATCTCTTTACTTCCTCTCTTCCACATTTCCTTGCCATTTGTAATTCAATCTCATGGGCCAGAGCCCTAAAGTCTTAGCATGTCTGGTTGTGAATTGATCAATTTGAAAGGCATGGTATCTGTGACCACTTGGAGCTCTGAAACCACTGCAAACCAATAAAAACTATTTATCTTTCTCTTCCCAGACAATGCAATCTTGACTCCTGTGAATCCACTCCTGAATCCTGTGCCTTTTCAAAGAGCCGAGGCAAGTTCAGGTTGCCTCTGGATCTGAAAAGACACATTTGGTCCCAGAGTTCCCTATTATAGGAAGAATCCCTCATTCCTTTTTACGACCTGGAGGTTGATTGTAAATATTTACTGGACTGGGAGGAGTTGTTTTTATATACAGTATTGTATTTTAGTATTGAAGATTCTTGTGAGGCAGGAAGGGAGGGGGTACAAATAAACCTGCTGGAATTATTAAGATCTCCGTGTTCATTTTTTAATGCTTTTTCATCATGTGAATTGCATTCTAACACTGCTGAGGAAGCCCTTTAAAATGTTTTGGTGCTATGTGATAGCTGAGCCAGTTACTGCCTCTACAGTAATCTCTGGAAACAATGTAAAGGAAAAGTTATTGTGCCTGCATATCTATTAGAATATTGTAGAATTTGCACATTTATTTAAAAAGAATATTTGATATCAAAAACTATTGGAAAACATTTTGGTGTGTACCCCCAATAAGCAAATAAAATTGCTTCTTCTGTTTTTAAACCAAAACCTTAATCCTTTATGTGAAAGAATGCTGATGCTTTTTGAAGCTTAGAGGGAGTTTAAGATTTTAAATGATTGAATTTAGCAGATGAAGCAAGTTCAGTTTTTTTGTAGCATTTTGTAGATAATGATACATCATAACAATGGATATAGTAATGTAAAATGTACAATACAATTTACAGCATAAACCCTAATTATTTAAACTAGAAATAATATAGTGAAAACATACAATTGAAGCAGTTCTTGGAACAGTGTTCCTTTCCATGCTCTGTGGCCATTGGCTTTTCCAGTGTGTACCATATTTATAGAGTATCTCTTTTAAAGCACATGTAAATGTGCTTGTTGAAGAACGAGCTGCTTCAGTCCATTTCTTATTATTTGGCTTGCTGGACAAAAAAAAAGGGGGGCATTCCTTGTTTTTGCAGACAGTGTGTCGTCTCTGCCAAACCCTTCAGCCTGTAATGTTTGCAAGCAGACCTGAAATAAAAAAAACCTGATTGCAAGGATGATTTCGAAGTGAACACTAGAAAAACTTAATTGTGAGGCAACATTCAGGCTTGTCCGTTAAGAGGTTGACGACTGTGGAACTCGGATTTAAAATCGGTATGTTTGACTCCCCCCCCATGAACTCTGGTATGTCTGTTGCTCACAGCACGTGGTCTTGTGAGTAATCCAGTGATTTCACAAATGGCTGGCCTAGAACTCAAGTTGTTCCTCAGCCCACCTTCAAGGTACTTTATACAGCTTTTGTTCTAAAGCTTATTCAGCTTCTGCTATACAAGTCAAAATCCAGTCACTATGCATGAGTCCTCCTGGCTTCAGATGAATGGGTGGTGGGAGTCCGTCCATTGGCCGGGCTTAAAGTGTCAACTCTTTGCGGCTTGAAGCCTCCACTCCATTCTTCTGCTTCCCTGGCCAGTAGTAATCCTTGCTCTTCAGTGCGGGCTCCTCTGACAGAATATTGAGCGCTCGGTTGTCCAGAATCTTGTTGCGGTTGTCGACCAGTTTCTCCTGGTCGTCGTCGGTGGTGCAGGATAGCTCGTTTCTTTAGGAAGAGGCAAGGAAGAAAATTAGAGCAGCAGTGTGGAACAGCTGTCAAGGGTCGGCTTGTTTGAAACCTGTTCTGCTCATTTAAAAATGGTAGATCAAAAGATTGGCACAACCAGCTAAGCAGATGCATTAATACTACATGGGGTCGGTGGTAAAGGCCTTGCCTGTGCTGTGCCTCGTTGGCCATGGTGCTGTCCTCATAGATTTTCAGCATGGTCTCTGTCCGGTCATCTTTAAGTTCCTTGGGCTCCTTTAGTCTACAAGAAGGGAGAAAATGGTACTTTCTGTGGCTTTCATTGAAATCATGACCTTGCAGTCTGTGATCCCACCTATAGCTGAAAGATGACTCACATCCCTCATATTTCTCATGTCATAAGTATGAGGCAGGAACCGGCAGCATATAGCAGTTATCGTACATATCTACTGTATGCTCAAGAGACAGAGGATGAAGAACTTTCTTTACAGTGGAAGCCACTTACATAGTGTGTGATCTTTGTAAAGAGGGTTGTGTTTTACAGCTTGCATAAGATCTCCTCGATCATCAGCTTTCTTTGCTGATGAAATGCCTCTGTGCCAAGAATTCATTCATTTACATAACGTTAAACGAAGTGGAGCTTTAGCTTTGTGGCAGATCTGTAACAATTAAATTATAGAATGTCTCTGCGGTGCACAGTGTGAATTACTGTTTCAGAAAATGAGTCACGCCCACAAGAGACACTGCAACCAAGGGCGGTTGACCTTGTCAGTTGAGCTCTGTCAATAGCCAAAACGTTCATGTTGTTTCTTTGTAAGACCGGGGTCTTGTATGTTCAATGTTTGTCCCTTTAAACCTACCTATGGTAATTTAAGAATCGGATAATCTGCTCCTAACAATATAAACTGAAGTGCTTTTCAGTCACATAAGTCCCTTCAGCAGAGTTTATTACTTCTAAATCCAGAAACCTATTTAACACACATCAGTCAGTTTCCAAATTTAGCTTTATATGCATTTATATATTTAGTTGTGTGTTTATTTTCAACCAGTAAATGAATTCGATGTCTCGCAAACTGGTTTTCTACAGAATGGAAATGCATGAGTGGACAATGATCAGCATGATTAGAAGTTTCTCCAGGCCTGGTGTGGAAACCAGTCTGCGTCAGGACAGAGAGAGGCAATACCTGGGCTCGAGCCGCTCCTTCACCTTGGCGATGGAGCGGATGTACGGGCCGATCTGCTTGGCGATGGTTGTCAGGTAGGAGTTCTCCTGTTTCAGCTGCAGCAGGTCATGTAACTGTGCTGTAAAGCACGGGGTACACAGCTCATGTCAACACAAAGACAAGCAGGCTTCTTCCAAAGAGAGAAGGCTCCCACAGTGAGAATACCAGTGCATCGTGCTATTACCTTCATAGATCTCTTGCTCATTCGCAACCCTCTGAAAGGTTTCCTCCCATATCTGTGAGAGAAGCACAAATCAGTAACATCATGCCTCTGGCTCTGTTCCTGGGTCTGCTCTTTCGTTAACTGCTGTGCATCTAATGATGAAAGATGCGAACAGAGACTTTGTACTGGGCTTATTGACAAAAAACCCAGATACTTATCCAATGGCAGACGCTGTGAAATCTCATAAGAAGAGCTTTCTTATGCCATATTATCTCCTTATATATAGTGCATTATACACACATACCTTGCATTCACACCTTTTAACACAATACAACTGCTTTTAGGACTCCAAAGAGCCATTGAATACATTTAGAACTTACATACGAACTAATACTCCTTGGAAACACCTCGGCCTTGCCCCAGACATACCTCCTCGAACATGGCCCTCATCATCTCCACAGAGGAGTACTCGGAGGCGATCTGCACATCCATCTCCAGCGATTTCTCCAGGATCTCCCCCATGGTGTCGGTCTTGATGAGGGAGTGGTGCTTGGTGAGGTCTCTGTGCATCTCCTGCACTTGATCCTTCAGCTTCTGGATATCAGTCTGCAGGGTCTTGGTGAAGAAGCAAACACTTGTAGATCAGTATTTCCAATATGTCTTATCCCTGTCCTTCAGCTTCATCAGCGCTATCAGTGATGGTAACCAAGTGACTACCTAGGCGCTTCTGGGAATTTGAAATTCTTTGTTTAACCATAAAAATGTTTGCCTTGCTTTCTGTTTTCCAGATGGTAGCAATCTAATATTCTACAAAGTAAGCAAAGAAAGAACCCTTCGGCAAACAGCAGTATTAGATCTAGGTCAAAGTGTGGAGCAGGGATTAAGGTTCTGGATTTGTAACTAGAAGGCTGTGGGTTCACATTCCAGGTAAGATGTTGTTGTTCATTTGATCAAAGTACATAAATGTACAGTAAGTTGCTATGGATCAAATCTTCAGCCAAATAAATGAATAATATTAACAATATTACTGACCATTTTTTTTACTGATTTGTTGTTGGGTCAAAATTGTGATTTGATTGTGAGTTGTGTTCAAGAGAAAAGAAAAACATTTTCACAAACATGACACAAATTGAGTCATGCCTAAAAAGAACTGGAAATGCCCATAGTACTGTGGTTCTACTTAGAGGTGGTTAGTTAACTCTGAACGCTGTCAGACTGGTGTCACTTCAGACAAACTGCCAGTAAAACACAGTTCATCTACATTCTCAGTTTTGCAAAGTTATGAGCAAGAAGCAAGAGGATGCCACTCCTTTTCACGCACGACTAAGCAGAACTGATGAGAAACTGCTCTCAAACCTACATCTCAACGCGCAATTGCTTCAGGCCTCAAGTCCCACAGTGCACACAGGAGAGGTGGCATTGAATGGAGGAACTGATAACACTGCATGCTCACTGCCGTGGGGCAGCTGCTGCTGGGAAAGCCTGGCAGCCTCACGCCTACCCTCCTGTCTGGGCAGAGACTGGCTGATGCCAATCACAGTCAGCCAGTAAGGCCTGACGTCCATTAATGCCCTTGTTCTGTGCACAAGTAAGTGTACGGAAGTAAATACAAGTAAAAAGATGTGCAGATCTGTTAAATATCTTTTCCAGCGGACCTGGATTGGTTGTAGGTGGCAGAGATGCACTGATGAGGAGGGTGAGGAAGGCTCGGGGACACTTACCCGGTACATGTTCTCGTAGTTGCGACAGTGCTCGGTGAAGGGCGACTCCCCTCCCTCGGCCAGCAGGACCTTGGTGCTGATGTAGCGGTGGGAGGTGGGCTTCCGCACCACTGAGGACGTCAGGGCCATGTCGCTGGAGGAGGGGGAGTGACAGGGGACAGACAGGGAGGACTGCAGCCTGCGGAGCAGACAGGAGGACAGGCTCACGCTAAGACTGTGCGCTGCGGGCTCTTGCACTAGAGCTCTTATTTACCCAGCAGTATGCCCTGTGGGTTAGAGGCCTAAAGCATTAAATAGCCTCACACAGCATGACAGATAACAGCTGGGGCACACTGAAGATGTTTTGTTGCTCCGAATACATTCTGACCATTCTATTTCAAGAGTTGTGATTGCAGTCTTTCTTTAGGGGAGCTTGTAAGAAAAACGTCTTGTGTTTAATTTATTAAACGGCTCCGGGGTTCGATTCTGGCCTCAGACTTCTGCGGGCATTTGCTGTTCAGGTTTCCTTCCACCTCCCAGTGACACGCAGGCAAAGTTTGCATGGTTACTGGAAATGCCCTAGTTCTCCATGGCCGCGGGATGAACTGTCCCATCTGTGGAGCTGTCACATGCTCTGAGTCCCACCTCTCGCCCTGTACTTCCATGACACGTAACAGCAAGGTCACAGCGACTCACATTCTCTTGGATTCCCCTGACCCTTCCCTGAGGATGAGCAGCTATTTCATGTTGGATGGGTGATCAAATTATATTCCCGAATCTGTTTAACCTCCCTGATATGATCAACAGTATTGAAACCACTGAAGCTGGGCAGATGTGAGCCTGATCAGTAGCTGGTTGGGAGACCTCCTGGGAAAGCTATGGCTGCTGCCGGAAGAGGTCTTAGTGGGGCCAGTAGGGGGCGCTCACCCTTTGGTCTGTGTGGGTCCTGATGCCCCAGTATAGTGACGGGGACACTATACTGTAAAGATGGCGCCATCCTTTTGATGAGACATAAAACTGAGGTCCTGACTCTCCGTGTTCATTAACTATCCCAGGGTATTTCTTGAAAAGAGTAGGGGTGTTAAACAGCATCCTGGCCAAATTTCCCCCTGGCGTTAAACAATCATGGCCTCCTAATATTCCCCATCTAATGTATGAACTGGCTTCATGACTCTGTTCTCCTCCCCAATGATAGCTGGTGTGTGGGGAGTGTACTGGTTCACTATGGCTGCTGTCGCATCATCCAGGTGGGGCTACACACTGGTGGTGGTGGATGGGATCCCCATACCTGTAAAGCACTTTGTGTGGAGTGTCCAGAAAATTGCTATATAGTTTAAGGTTATTATTATTATTTAAGGATTTTATTATAAAAACCTTTTTAACTATTTGTGTTCCCTAGCTCACCTGTTGTAAAATTACTGCACCTTGTAGTCCTCAGTCACTTAACCTGTAATCCAAAGATTACAGCAGCGTTATTGAGCAATGAAGCCGGCCAGTTCTGTTTAGAAATGCCATCGCTGCCTTTTCCTTGCACAGTGTGACACAATCCAGCCTCCCTACATTCCACAGGTAATTTTTACACTCTGTGCTGCATGAGAAAGCAGAGACACTTCATCATCTACATGCCAATTCCCAAGTGCTGAATCTGGCATAACCCATTCCTAGACTCCATAACAGATTATAAAAATTACAGTTCCCGTTGATTTTATCAAAATACTATTCCAGTTCCTCACCACTAAGATTTTTTACTGTTGCTCTGACTTCTCATACCTTTCTCCCTCCTTTCTAGCTCCCCAACGAGGCTCTGCAGGCGCTGTGCATGTTGAACTATTTACTCTGGACTAGTAAAACAAAGGTAATAGACCCAGAAAAGCAGAATCCTTAGCCAATGACATGTGGACATGTACAGCGTGCACTGTATTAACCCACTTCCTACTGGATTAATGTTGACAAGAAACAGACTTGAAAGGCTTAAGCTGCTTCCCTTCTCCTTGAAAACTGCTGATCATCAGCTTATCAATGCATGACACCACAAATAGTGATAATAGTGAGACTACTGCCAACTGTTTTATTATATACTGTATAAGCACCAGACAAGGGACCGCATAAAGAGAGAACTGGAAAATGAGAAGGCGTACAAGGATCTTTTAGCACAGCAGTTCACTAAGAAGCATGCTGACAGGAGTTAATATACAAGCGCAGGTTTTTCATGTTGGTTCAAGAGGAGACACATGGCTCCTGGGGTCTGGCACCAGGCTAGGCTAGCACTTCACTGACTTAAACAGCTGACAGCTTATGGCAGTGGGCTGGTGAATAGGCAGCCAGCCGCCCAGCTCCTGTGATATTCCAGTAAATAAGAAGAGACTCGTGGTTTTACCTTGGCTGAGATGCAGACTCGCGGAGAGGGAGAAAGGCAGTACTCCTGTTCCCTGTCGCCCGCTGGGAGAGCAGTCACCTGCGAGGCTGTGCTCGGCAGCCAGATAATCAGCCCTTCCAGCATCAGAGCCCGTGACCGCACCCCCTGCCCTTTCTAACGCATTTTGTTCTCCCTGAGCCCACTTGCCACCCTGCGGCTGATTCCAATTTAAGACATCGGGGAAGAGCGTGACATCAGAGGCATGGAAAAAAAAAGCACCCTCCCACTGCTACCTCTGCTCTTTGTGACTGGGGGGCTGAGTCCTGGAGAGTTCTGTGAAATTCTGATAAAAATAGTCCCCGGCCTACCCCCCCCCCCACCACCCCTGACATTTTTCCAGCCAACGTGGTTACGGTAGGGGGAGAGACAGGGTAGAAAGAAATAGGGGTGATTGATGTGGAAAATTGGCCAGGGACGTGCATCACCTCAGCCCTGACCGTGAGGCATCAGGGGCTTCGGCTGGGGGATTGGTTAAATGCTTCTGAATTATTCTTCCTCTCAGTAAAGGCATAAACAATATGAGAATGCACGTGCGGACAGAAGGGAGGTTCTTCTGCCTCACAAACTGCACTAAGTGGCCGGCTACTGCTGTCCCCTGTGCTCTCCCAGCTGGGACATGCTGAAAGAATGCTGTGCAAATCCTCTTTCACTTTGTCGTATGGGCACCTCAAGTACTGTTTTTTTCACTCCAGGACTGGAACTAGAGGTCATGTGGATCAGGAGCCTCATGCAGAGCCAAGGGAAGTGGGACTGAACTCCAGAGCTGGGTTTTGAGGCAGTCAAGTTCCTGAACCCTCGTGAGTTTTTTTTAAAGTCTGATCATGCGATGAGGCCTCCATGGCCAAGCTGCCACCTCTCCTTCCCAGTGGGCCCTGCTGCCTGGCCCGGTGAAGCCCCTGGAGGTATGGAAAGTGATTTCCAGGTGCTCCACGAGTGCTGCAGCACGGATAAGGAAAAGCAACAACCTTCCACTCAGCTTTCGGGCCAATACAAGTTGACCTTGCCAGAACCAAAACACTTCACAAATAAACAGGACATTTCCAGAGGTCATTTCCCTACTCATCGTCCTCTTGATCTGTACTCGTTCTTGTCATAGGCTGCCTGTCAGTCACTCCCTCCCTGCGACTCGCTGGTCATATTCCCGTGGCCTTGTCGCCACAGCTCTGGCATGCGTTCTTGACAAACCCGGCTAACAGCACTGAAGGGTGGGATAGCTGCTGCAACACTGAAAGCACCAGAGCTGCCGTTTCCTAGAATTCGGGCTTCCAATCAGCTGGGCCAGCTGTTATCCCTGGTACCTCTGGCACAACACTTTGCAGAGTGGACAAGCACTTGCTAAAACAGGAGCTCAGGCACCAAGCTCGGTCAGCTGATGAGCAATTTCAGGAACGCTTTCTGGAGGTGCGGGGAAAGATCACAATCCTTTTAAGGCCTTCAGTTAAAAACACCCGAAAAAGAGGACCCTGAAGAAAGGCAAACACTGGTGCCAAAGGCAATTTTTCTAAGTAGCAATGTTTAAAATGGCCCCCTCAACGAATTATCATATTGAAGTGCTGCTAAAAATCAAAGCACTTCTGTTTCTCAGATTTCCACCTGCTTCTACAGCAGTTTCCTGTTTGATTTGTCTCTACTGTTCATGGAAAAATATTGTGTCTGTATTTATGGCACATTGATAGAGGCTTCAGTAGGTGCTCGGGAACTGGAACCACAGTATAAATCAGACCTATGGCAACTTTGTGATGGATTTTGTGTTCTCTTGTGCATGTTTTCTAGTTTTCAAGTTGGCCTGATAGTGATTTGTCAGTGATCACTGATTTGTGGTTCCTTTGTATATATTGCACGAGTGCTGTCTGATCAATTTGTCAATTCATTGTGGTTCAATATGGAGGACAGCAGGATTGTTGTATTATACTTCAGAGGTGAGATCTGTGGTGCTTCTATGGTTTTCCAAAGCAACTCTTAGCTCTAACTGAATCTTAATTGTTTCAGTGATAATACCCCTTGTGAAAATCATCTTTTCATGAGGGAGAGGTTTCCATAGAGAACTGGGACATTTCTATAGAAATCTTTAGGTTATTTCAGTAAAGATAGGAGCAAGGTCAGTGAAACAATTAAGTATCAATTAAGAAAATCATGTACTGCTTGCATTCAAATTTCTCCAATGATCTGCTGAGGTTTCCTACCCTCTTACAGACCCTATCCACTCTCTGTATTCCATATAAAGGGAATCGTGGGAATGAGAGACTCACAGTCCATTGCTGTTGGCCATTCCAGACACTCCTCCCACGCTGGTGACGGACACAGAGCGCCGCTGGTTGAGCATCAGCAGTGGCTCCAAGCAGCGAGCGAATTCTGAGCGGTACTCCGTGTTGATCTGAGGCGGCGGGACAGACACCAGGAAGGGGGATCAGTGAGTTCCAGGAGCATTCCGGACTGCCATCAGTGGTCAGGAAGAGCCAGCACTTTCCCTGGACACAGAGTGACCCTCCCAGCCCGAAGGAAGGCTCAACAGGTTGCAGGCAGCTGTACTATGTGTTTAATGGGGCAGTGCGTCTTTGACTCCTGGGCATTCCCTGCACAAGAGCTCCTGAAGTGTCAATGCAGATGACACGGTACGTCCACAGTAAGTACATCGTAGTTGACCACCTAGAGCACAAATCACTGCACACAGGCAGGACGTGTCTGAACCTGCTGCCCCGTCCTGTTGATAATGACCACGTCAGCCAGATAGACATGATACAGAAAATGTCCCTAGCATTCCACAAACAACACAAGGAACATGGGGGGAACAAGGGGGAATTACAGGTGGATCCTTTTTTCCAAATGTGCAATGAAAGCTTAAAGTTATCTGTCCCTGTGTCCAATGCTGACACTCATACAGTACGTCACCCAAGATGTTAAGCAGCAGGTGGAAAGATTTGGTGCAAGCAATCAAGAACCCCTGGAAATCGAATATGGACACGCCATTCCTTCTGTAATTTAGGTTGATTTGCATGATAAATTAGTAGATTTGTAGTAATCTGGGAGCTGATCATAGGTCAGAATAAAGTATTCTAGGTTGTGTACTGTACAGAAAGGACATGGACACTGGCTCGGTGAACGTACTGTAGACATTGACAAGTGACTTGAAGTTGCCTCTCACCTTGCTGCTCTGAGCCGGCCTCAGCCTGTGGGGCAGCTTCACTATCTTCTTCAGCCTCTCCATCAGTTGCTGTGGCAGACAAAAAAAGGGCAGAAGGCATTATTAGAGACCAGCAGAAGGAAGAGGTGATCCAAGCAGCAGTGACATCCAAGATGGGATTACAAAATCTAGTGATCGGTTTTGAGACGTTTAACCATGGAGTAGCAACTTACATAGCCCAGGTCCAGGAACTCAAACTTGTTGGCAGAACTGAGAAAGGCAGAGCAGGTGACCAGGTGGACCTGACAGGACAGAGAAACAGCAGAACATAGGAAGCCATCAACACAACATTTAAACATTAAGTGACATTAATCTGCTATTGATGATGGATTCACAAGTATCATACTTTACCTAGAGAGTAGATAACACATTGTGGCCTTTAACTGGGCTGGCTCTTACCTGCAGAGTAGGCAGGAGGGCGGCCAGATGAGCCAGCTGTTCCTTGAAAGCTTTCTCTTTCTCCTCGTGCTGGCTGTCAACACAGAGACAAGCTGACCATCAACAGACTTTTGTGCACACAGTTCGACTGAGAACATGCCGAATTGTATTTGTGCAGTTCTTTATCCAGCTGTGAATCAGATCAGGACAGATGCACATATTTTACGGAAAGTATTTCTCACTTGAATGAAGTGTGTTTGCTTTCTTGTGTTTTCAGAATCCCAGAGTCCCACAGTGCACACAGGAGAGGTGGCATTGAATGGAGGAATGACGCAGCTCTTACTGACAACACTGCATGCTCACAGTTACCCAGCAAGCCATGGTGCTGCTGCTGGGTAATCTAAAGTATAGCCTGGCAGGCTCATGCCTTCCTGTCTGGGCAGAGACTGATCGATGCCAATCACATGTCAACTGCTAAGGCCTGATTCCCAATTAATGTCCCTGTTCTGTGTAAAAGTAAGTGTACTGAAGTAAATACAAGTAAAAAGATGTTGGCAAGGCATGCAGGACATGCAGATCAGTTAAATATCTTTTTTTCACCAATTTCCTGCCTAGTACAGGACCTGTCTGTCTCCATGTGTAGCATGGTTCACACAGAAAAAGCAACCCTGTGAGCTCATAATGTGTGTGCGTGATGATTTCGATTTCCAGGAAAACACATTTCTGGGCCATTTCCAGGCACAGACTGGAGTGAAATATGGACTAGAGCACTGTAATCTCATTACGGAGCCTCTTTGAAGTGTAATGTGATACACTCTCACATATACATCAAGCTCCCAGCTAAAGCATCAGATACACTGCAGTAACAACGTGGTTTACTGTAGCAGGCCTGCCAGCTTGGCCAGTACATTAGCAAATATCGCTTGCTGGCTGGAGAGCAGAGATGTAGATGGGCTGAAAGTTAAAAGCCTCACATACCTGATCTGCAGCTCTGTGTGTGTGTGCGCTAAAGTTGGGTTTTAAAGTGCATTGTATTCATTTTAGTCTAATTTAAAATGCATCACAGCTATGTTATGCTGTACGTTCCATTTGTATGCGTCTGTGCTACACCTATACTGTCTCCAGTACCGTATTGTCTGAGCTGGTAAGGGAGACAAGGAGGAAAAGAGCAGTGCAGTTCAATCAGAATGCAGCCGCAAGAACAAGCTCCTATCTTTAGAATGGCCTGCCAGTTAAAACGCTTTGTGTTTACCTTTGGGCAGCCTTCAAGAGTATCTTCTTCCGCTCTGCCAGTTTCTCCTGCAAATAAGAAATGAAAAAAGGAATTATTATAAGTTCTGTTGTGTTTCTCTCTTGTGAGTGTGGCCTTATGACATGCCTTTAAATGGGTGTATTCCTTGCCTGGGATAGAGCTGTTCTTTAAATGAAATGCTCTTCCCAGCCCTACTTCACAATTAATTGATCCTCCCCAAAGTAAACTCTTAAGTGTTTGATGAAACATTTCGGAGTGTGAACATAGTCCTGTGATTTCTTGTATACTGTATACTGCCTCTAAAATATTGAAAGTAATGATGCTGTCAGTGATGATTTTATTCTTGCAGACATAAAATAATACACTTGGTTATTTGTTTCATAGGTGAACATGGTCAGCCCAAGTATTACTCAGCAGCTTTTTAGCTTTGCAGAGGAGAGGTAGGGAATCCGAGCTCAGCTCAGTGGAAACATGATCAAAGGAGAACCCTAGTGGTTGTTGCACAGAATAGCATGCATCAGTCTTCAAAATAAAGGGCAGGTTATTAGCAGGTCTAGTCTGTTAGATTAATATGGTTGCAATTATAATCCTCCTTTTAGTCTAGTGTGGTCTTCTTCAGAAGGCATTTCATGCTGTTTTTTCAACTGTTTTTCAAAAACTGCTCTTTTTTGGAGTTTTATCTTTCTGTGGCTGGTGATACTATAATTTTTAATATATTATGAATTAAGGCAGGTCTAGAACTTTAATGTAGTTAAAGCTCTATAACTGCAGTTGTCACCCATCAGTGTCATACAGGAAGTGGCCTGTACTTGTAACCCAGCCAGTGAAGAGCACTATTTTCCTGATCATATGCAAAATAACTCATATACATGTACACAGTTTAGACCTTTTTCTTGTATGTCTATGCATGGTTAATTTTTAAATGAATAATAATATTATAATAATATATTTAATGAATATAGCACATTTCATTACAGTGAATCTGTAAGAGGATGCTGCAGAGGATGAGTATTTGCACGACAGGGGCAGTGTGGCTGGGCGTGTTCTCTCACACTGCTCCAAACTATGTGTCCCTATGTGAAGGTTGTGCTGTGCAGAGCTGTAGGTGTCAGGCTGTAAGCTTCTGGACTCCGACGCTGAGCGTGGTGGTACCTGCATGCTGCTGAAGAGGGTACTGATGGCACTCTCCTCCTCATCCACATTGGCCCTCACCTCCCCAATCATGGCCTTCAGCAGGACAATGGCCTCTCGTGCTGACGTCTGCAGCTCTTTCACTGCCTGCAGGTGCGATTCGCAAGACACTCTCACGTTAGTGGGGCTGCACTGCCTCCCTGCTTCTTTTAGGACCGCTGTCTGTCTGTTGCTGCTGACCTCCAGCATCCTTCATGGCACAGTGCTGTCAGAGCAAGTCAGTCGGGTCTGTGTGTAATTTTGTGTCTGCACAAGCTCGTCTACCTGCTGAACTGGGGTCTCTCATTATCCCTGCCTGAAGCTGAACTGAAGGGAATTAGGAGGGTGTGATGCTGTCTGAATTTCTACTTACAACTGTCTGTTTTTAGGTGATTTACTCCTTAAATCTCTCAGGAAGAATGTTTTGAACGTTTTTATGAGATTTGTTTCACTCAAGAAAAGAGAAATCACTTTTGATGATTGCAAGAGAGATTGTTTAGAAAAAAATATTGGAATTCTCTCTCTTCTTTTATCTTAGTTAACCGGTAAACCTTACACTTTCTCAGGGTGTTTTCTACAAAAAAAATAAAATTCTTAAAAATCTAGGTTGTCTAGAACTATGAAACACTGTACAGATGAAGACCTACTCTCATCCTGCAGTTCAGTGTTGTGACTTTTTTCACTTTAACATTATGTTGACAAATTTCAAAGTGTTGTTTTGCAACCTTAGGACACATCTTACCAGGACGGCCTGATCCAGTTTTTCACAGCCTTGCATATACGCCGTCTCAATATCAATGCAGTGTGCTCTGCTCTCCCTGTGAGACAGGACAGTCACAGACAACATGGGGATCAATGCATTGTGCATTACCAGGAGAAGGCAGCCATAAAAATGTTTACCATCCTAAATTCACCCATTCTCACTGTTTTTCCCAACATCTGCAGTTTAGTTTGCTTGGACACAGGTTGCCCACATTTTGAGCCTTGCAGTGCTTAGTCATAGAGTTGTCTGCACTCAGATTGTACAGTACAACTGCTACAGTTGAATTGTAGGGCCGCCAACTTTGTTCTGCAAGTCAGATTTAACACGATCTGTCAGGGTCATCTGATTGGCTTCTCATTAGATACTCAGTACATTGTGAGTGGCACACTTTTAACTTGTTATAAGATTTTGCCAGTCCAGTTTTCACAACCTGTACTCACACTTGCATGTCTCTGAAACAGTTGATGCACAGCATGGACTTCTTCTCTGTGGAGAACATGATATAGGGCTCCTCATGAAGGGCTGCAGGCAGACAGAAGGGGGCAGTGTCATCCCACCACATCCTTTTAAAAACCCACACTGATCCAAGCACAGCCAGTATTCCCTGGCCCATAGTATAGTTTACACAATCTGTTAGAGCCTCGGCAGAAAGGCTGAACATCAGAACATAAAGGTTTCAGACAAGAGCAGGGCCTTCATCCTCTCTTTCATCTCTTGTTTGCAATTAGTAAAATTGTACTGCAGATAATGCAGATGACGATGGTGCTCTATGGTAGTTCTGTAATGTACTGTACCTCTCTTTTTTAAACTGGAACATCAAAATGTATCCAGCCTGTTCTTCTATCGTCTTTACAATAACTCCATTAAGCACATCACATGCACATGTTCTACTGGGTCCACTTGTTGTGTTTCTTATTCTTTATGCCCTCTTTTCTGCAGTCCCTCAATCTAGTGCCATCCAAAGAATTTTGCAGCACTGCTCAATTGTTCGAATACTTGTGCTTTTTGTTCAAGGGGAGAAAATGAAACTCACAGCACTTCTTATGGGCTTCCTTGGTGCGCTTGGCCAGGGACACGATCTCATGGCGGGAGAACATCTTGGCCTTGTGTGTGACCTCCCTGCAGGTGCTACACAGGGGCTGGTTACAAGTGTTGCAATAATACATTGCATCCACATCCTGCCAGGAACAGAATGCACAGAACTCAATAGCCCTTTATTCACAGCAATCAGCGGCGCACTACACCGCTCACAGAATGCAATCAATTAAAAGCCTGAATTTCTAAGAAAGGACAGCTGAACTGTAGTGTTATTAAACCTGGCTGAGAAACCCCAAGTAGTGTATAAGAGTTATTTCCTGTGTTTGTATCAAGTTACTAACAAGTAACTTACTAGTACCTGTTTCTTGCACTCAAAGTCACAGTTGGCACACTGGACAGTCTCCTCACAGTCTGCGGAATTGTCCACCAGGAACCTGAGCAGACGGTCTTCAGGGGGCAACCCGTTGATCCCTTTCACAATCGACTGCTGTCTGAAAGGTGCACACAGAGAGATGGGCACTCAGACAGGCAGAGACGCAGAGAAAGACACTGTCAATGTAGACCCTTTCATTGGAGACCCAGTTAAGGGTGAACAGTCACAGATTTGAATGCAGTGCTAGTTGGCCTGCTTATTGCTTATAGCTGGATTAGGTTTGTGTGTTGCTCTTAAGTTCCAAGTTAAAGCCACTTCAGAGGCTACAAATAGCTTTGTTTATGCAATTAATCTTTAGGATTCTGGTTCGAAAATGCTTTGCCAATGTGTGTTAGATTGCAAATTTTCAAAGGGATTGTTAATCAGTGCGCTGAGCATGCCAGTAACCAGAAGAGGGCACCAGGTGCCCATTATCCACTCAGTCCCACGATGTCTTTGATGCTGTATTATTAGCACTCAGCAGTATCTCAGAGTTCAGTGAAGCAACAAGGGGGATGTAGTTATAAGAGAGCATAAACAAAGAGTATTTATAGGATCTAGATGGAATAAAACAACTATTCACTGTGCTGTCTGCACTCTTTTGGATACCTACTCTGCAAAAGGTTTTATTTTTGGGAATAGATATTGCTGCCAAGGCCACACTGTGATGTTGCAAAACAGAATTAGTAAGAATGTCCATATACTATGAGTAAGGACAGACCCTGCTTTTGTGCTTTTAAACTCAACTGTAAACCAAAACAAAGCATTCGGCTGTTTTTTTCATATAGACATTGAGGTGTACTGTACCTGTAATTGAGAATGGGAAGGGTAAAAGATTACTGCTCCTAGAAGTTCTCCCACACTTAGATTTAGATTTTAGCATCTTTCATTTAGTAAGTGCACTGTGATGCATCACATCCTAACATACATCTCAATGCATCTTCAACGCTTCCAGACTGATCTTTGTGCTGACTCAGCATTGTAAAATGCATGTTTGGGAGTTCAATGCTGGTCTTAGATTTGCCACTGGTTTGGATTATGAAATGATACCCAGAGTCTGCTGCAGCTGTTTATCTATTGTCAAAACAAAAGCCTCTCTCCTTCCCTTCCATGTTTAACTTACTCTGTGTTCATAGCAACTGGTGCTATTGTCTCCCAGAAATAGCAGTGCTCTAAATTCCTAGATTACACAGGTCCTGGTCTGGGAGACAACAGCGATCAAAATAGCAGCAACCTGTTACTCTACCTCTGCTAAGAATAACACAGAACAACAGCACTCCTGCTCCCTATACTCACCAGGGATTGTTATAGCTATGGGGAGGTGAGCCTTATTAGTCAGAATTTTAGCAAACTTACTTTCTTTTAGCCTTACTGTACCAGAGATCGGCTCCAAGTGCTGTCTCATTTTCAGCTGGGAGAGAAAAGGCATGTTTGGTGCTGAGAGCTAATATCTTATGACACAAGAACCGCCAATAGCAGAATTGTCTTCTATATGGAGCCATAAAAAGATACGGTGCCACACAAACACGCACAAACTTGACTCCGAAAGACGGCTTGTTAACAGTGCAAGATGGTTACAAACTGAACGCAGTCCCTGGGAGAGAGAGATTGAGAAACTCTCCTCAGCAAAAGCAATGTCAGCAACCACCACAAGAGTCCAAATGAAAGGAAACAAAAACAGCAAGCCCGTTGCTGGAAAACCTTCTACAGAGCATTATTGCTTCCCAGTATTGAGAGGGCATTGATATAACTTCACAGCAGTCTTTTCTCCCCCCACCCTCCAAGTTCATAATACATTTTGCCAATTTCTTTAGCCCCTGTTTTACCAGAGCTCTCTGCCCTTTACTACATATACTAATGCTTGAAATCTCTGAAGTTTTGCTTTATGACAAATCAGCCATTGCCCCCCCCCCCCCCCCAAAGCCCCAGCAGTGCACAGCAGAAAACAGTGCAGAGAAAAGCACGACAGTCCTGCCACCTCGGTCTTGCACAAAGCCCGTGCTCTCTGAAAGCTCAGCAAAGGAAGAAGAGAATGAGCGCGCCTACATGTACTCGTCTATTTCTCCCAGGAGCATGCTGGAGAGGCAAAAGCGATTATTCCCACGGGTTCTCTCCTTCTCTAGTCCGTCACCTGGCCAGGATAGACACTGCGCCAGCCAGTCACCATGTTAGCAGAGCAGCCGGGAATGGGAAGAATCTGGGAGAATCATCAGCACAAAGGAAGTAGCCACAGTCACTTACAAGACCTGAGCACTCTGGGCTCCCTGTGACTCTGAGCATCAGAAAGCAGCGACCAAAGCAGTACAAATATAGACTGAGAAGGAAGGCACAGTGGCACCTAAAGCTGGGGGTCACCCAGCGGGGATAGTGTTACAGCAGGGCTGGGGAACGGGGAGGAGGGAGACACCGGGGATGGCTGGCAAGGGGTTCGGGGGGGCGTCATGAAGGTTTGTGTTGCAGTGTGGTGATGCCTGTCATCAGAATAAAAGATGATTCCCCCTCCAGCCCAAATGTCTAACTGGATAGAATGTAGTCACCCCACAAAAATAGAACAGAGACCATAGAAAAGCTGAATTATGAAATATTATTACAGACCCTGCTCAGGGCGTGTCAAGGTAGGGACCTGTTACGTTCAACATTGATCACCGGTGACTTTCAAATGGCAAATACTGTAAGTGGCATTTTAATGCACCCAGTAGCTTAGCAGATAAATGCATTGGAGAAAATAACCTGCAGTGTCCCATGTCTGCACTGATGCCAAATGCCACAAGTGAGCTCTCCTGTATGATCAATGCTCAGTCCTGGATGTTGAAATATTTCCTCCTGTGTGTCCTGTTCTATTTTTTGTTTATAAAAAAGTCTGGGGAGCAAACAAACCACAACAATGCCAGCAGCAGAACCCGCATCACTGCATTTCTTTGTATGCTTTTTTGTTTCAGTCTAGGTTTGGACAAAATCCCTTCAACTTCACACTATAATGTTATGCCACTTGGGCAAATGCCAACTTGCTAGTAGAACATTTTCCATTAAGTCTACAGATCACTTCCATTGCCATCTTCTGGATCAGCTTTAATTTAATTCATGATAAATGATAATCACAGACTTCAGCAGTATTAAATTAAGAGCTGTGGTCCTAACTCAGAGCCTTGAGGTACTCCACTAATTGCCACTGCAGCATCCACCCTCAATCTGTACTTGTATATTAACCAGTTCTTAGTCTGAAAGCAAGCAATATTTTAAAATCTAAGAATTAAATGGCTTTTGGATATTTAACAATACCATGCTATATGCTCTTTGTATCCATTATGGCTGTTAACATGTCAAAGACATCAAGTCAGTTAAACAAGTCCTGCAGTACCTTTTGTTTTGCCAACATCTTGACCATATCGACCTTTTGCCTTACAGATAATCAATCCACTTGTATGTAACATATTTGTCTGGATTTTGTTTTGTGAATTGCCAATTATTTTTTATATCCTCCCAGTTTGAAAAAGACAAATTTATTTTTCCCCCATCTGTTCCATCTTCAAGCCAATCACCTTTCATAGGTCATAGGTAATACTGTCCACTACCAGAGGTTCAGTGCCAACCGAGGAGAGACACGCCCCTCACCAACAGAACTGCACAAGCGCCCGGGAAGATGCAAGCATTGCTCTGTCGCTGACAGCCCTGCCAACTAACAGCCAACTGCGCACCACCTCATGGAGAACCCCAGTCCCATCCAGGTAGCGACATAGCCCAGACTCGAAACCCCTGATCACAGAGCTCAGCCTGTGCTTCAGTGAGTGCCTTCACCAGTTGAGCCATTAAAGATTCCCCTGTTTTGTATGGATGTTTCCTTCATCAGTGGACACTTTCCCCTTGTTTTGAGTGACTGTTAAAAGAGTTTTGTCAGTGGGCTATGGGTAACATTTCATTTCCTTAAGTGGTATAATATTATTAGGCTCTGCTGATTTCCTAATCTTAAATGTTTCTGTTGCAGGAACACTTCTGCTTATTCTGTGTGAAGACTGTTGAATATAGAACAATGTTTGCTGAGGTATGTTACCAAGTTTCCCCTTCTGTAATCTCCAAATTGCCATTTTTCTCATACATCAGCCATTTCTCTTTTGTTGTCCCAAGGTTCCCCACTGCTGTTGAGACACTCATCTTCATCTTATTATTAAGAGTGTATCATGGTATAAAGTCCTTTATTGGGAGAGCTTGCATAGTTGACACAAAAAAACAAATCCCATCTGTATTTGGAGATCCATGTACAGTAGATATTAAGTCTTTTCGCACTGATTAGTGTGAGGCAGGCCAATACAAAACACAGAAGATGCACAGTTACAATGTTGATTATTTATCTTTCTCCAATCCCTCTTAATAAGCTCAGATCACCAGATCTCTGTATCCTTCCATACTTGTTTCCAGACCAACTTTTATATGGCCCAGATAAACCTTGATTCCAACTGCATACACTTGGGCTTAATTATTAGACTGTAAGCAACAATTTTGGTTCTTCTGAGGTCCATGTAAGAGACAAGATGGTTCCCTCCCATGGAGGTCTCCCAGGACTCTAACAGTGAGCCTTCCAATTCAGGGATCTATGTTCCCTCACAAACCTCTTATACAATATTCTCTGATGTTTTTCACAGCTTTTCAAACATTATTTTGCACTTGTGCTTGCAATTTACTGTGTTTCTTTAACTGAATGTTATTCTTTTTTTATCTTCTTCCTCCACATGTGTTCCAAATTAATTGTTCTGGTTTATTGAGCCAGTTGGCCACTACTTTCTAGTCTTTGACTTACTAACTCTTGGTATTTATCTGTTCTGTGGTTTAAGCAGAACATGTTTAAAATGTTGCAATCAGTTTTCTGCTAATATAACCCCTGATTGTTAATACTCTTGGGGTTTCAGCACAGGCACTTCCTTACCTGGCTCTTCAATGTTTGGCCTTCCCCTGGTGTTCTCTTTTTGACTCTACTCCCAATGCACCTCCCTTGAAGATCTTCTTTGGATTCTACCCCTTCCATTTCAATGTAAATACTTTTTAATTGCTAGTAGATAGTAGATCCTAGCCACAAGTCAACTGATACCCATCTTGTTTAGATGTATATATGGTTCAATGGATGATATATAGAGCCCGTACAGATGATCTCTGCAGTGGAAAGGCTGACAGTGACTGAGAAAGCTCCATGTGCTGAATAAGTAACAATAGCTGCCTAATCTCTGGACAGGTAGCCACTTCCACCTGCACCTCCGTGAAGACAACATAATGCTGTTGACTCAGGATCGCAGATGCATACAGTATCTCAGGTGCAGTCTTTTCTTCTTCTGGTGGCACTTGAACTGATTTAATGCTGACTGGTGTCTGAACATCAGTGTCTCTGGGGGCCCTGATGGTGCTGCTTTGCGTTTTCAGGTCTTGACTGTTTGTTTACAGGTCCTGGTGTGGAGCATACTTGCATGGCAGTGTAATCCCGGGTGGGATGGTAAGCATAGATTGTGGTATTTTTCTTGCATTCAGAACTTGGGACTCCAGGAATGCAAGAACTAGCAGAATTGGATCAACATCAGTCACTGACATCCAGGTGGGGCCATTTTGTCCACTCAGTGGAGATCACTTCCCTCTTCTCTCTGTCTTTTCAAGAACCACCGACATCCTGCCCCAGCTGGTATTTTGTGTCATACACCACAAAGCCATTGCTTTTAAAATGGCAGAGACTGAGCATTTTGAGGCCATCTATGGTACACTGTTCATGTGCTCTTAATGTCACAGGGCACAGTGACATGGGGCTTTGGGGGCTGCAGCCCGTCCTCTAACAAGCGAAGAAAGGGAGAGCGCTGTGAAGACAGCTTTGATTACAGTGAGCTTGGGGTCAGCGTGTTCAGTGGCAAGGTGCTGGATGCCTGTGTGTGTTTATTGTCAGCTTGGCTGCAAGCTGGCCTTATCATCGCAGTGTGCTCCGAGCCCGGCACATTCCACCGTCGCTAAAAGAAGAACAGAATTCACTCTGCAGCTGTTCCCACCTCTCAGGTTAGCATGAATACCCCTGTCCTGCTGGATTTCTCTTAGCTGCCTGTTAGAGGGGCCACTCAGCTCTTTGTGGCAGAGCAGTGACAACGAGGGGAGAGGTTATTAAAATAAATCAGCCTCTGGTGTAAATTTTGAAAAGAAAGGCATTAATTTAACTAAGTCTGATTTAAACATTGATCCCATGAAGGTTAACTAAGGGCTGGCCAATATCATGTTATCCAATGGGGCTCGGACAGGAGTTGCTGTCCCTTTCACTGGAGTCCGGAGTGTCATGTCAAGGAACAGGCAAAACAAAGGCGACATGCTTGTCCCTAAAGGGTGAGAGGTGAGGCCCCACCCACAATCACGATGAAACAACGAGGAGTGTAACTGAAGAACATGCACCTGCCATCACGGGTTGCTGGTGTACATGTGTAACAGTATGTCATAAAGTGCTGGGGCAGTGTGGTGGCCCTTGGCTAAGGATCTGTGCCTGTGGCTGGAGGGTTGCCGGTTCATATCCTGTGGCCGGCAGAGGAATCCTACTCCGTTGAGCCCCTGAGCAAGGCCCTTAACCCCAACTGCTCCAGGGGTCCCGTATAAATGGCTGACCCTGCACTCTGACCTCAAGCTTCTCTCTGTCTGTGTCTCATGGAGAGCAAGCTGGGGTATGTGAAATGACAAATGCAAGAAATTGTATATGGCCAATTAATTGATCTGATCTTATCTTAAAGGAAATGCAACAAGGAGCTGTTTTTCTGAGACGTCTGGAATAGGCTGTATTGCAGAAAAGGATGATGATTTGGAATTCGAAGCCTGCTTGCCTGCTGTCTTGCATCAGTGAGCTGAAGGCTTAGCTGTGAATTATGAGTTACTGAAAAGAAGCATCAGCTGGAGCATTCAGGACCAGATAGAGAAAGCATGTCTTTGCTCAGAAGATTGTGAGAGTCTAGGACCAGTTACCCAGTCAAGAGCTGAAGCTGATGCTGAGGGATACTTTCAGAAAAGGCTTGATGGAATCCTTGAATCAATAATCACGAATAATCAAGCTTACACAAATGGATGATTTGTAGCCGTTCTTCAAAACTACACTGTGCACTTTACAGTCAATGATTAATTCAAGTATATTTTTGCATTTTTTAGGTCTTTACTTTGGGTTTTATGATATTGATACAGTCTTAGACATTCTGCACTGCTCTGTTTTTCGCTCAGTGTCTTTCCTTTTTCACCCCTTCCATTTTTATTTATATTTATATTTATATTTCATTTTATGTCTTTATGCAGAACAAATCTGTGGTGGTCTTCTACTCAAATGTTACCATTTTGTTCAAGCTAATTGTTGATAAATCTGTTTTTTACAGTACAAAAAGTAGTCTAGGTTTGTGGATGTGTGCAATGTGTAACAAATTATGTTAATGACAAGGAACACCTAAAATGGAGTCAAGAAGATTTGATTGGCAAATGGTTCTAATAGTGAAAGTGATTAGTTAAGCTTTGATTAGATAGCCGGTGCTCGAACACACATATATTGGAAATCCTGATTGTGTCCAAGATGTCTAATACTTTTTTATGTTCTTCTCCCTTTATTGAAAAACAGATGCACTTATTAAGCCTGTTTGAATCCTCTGTTGATTGACATGAAGCTCCCAGGAAACAGCAGAGTGTGTGAAGGGGGTGTTCGTATTGGGGAGGGCAGGTCCAGGGATTCATAAAGATGTCTGGGGGGGAAACACGACCTGTTCACTTTCATCAGATCACATGCCGGTCATGTCTGTGTGCTTACAGAGCTGCGGGTGTAACCACTAGAGAGCTCCGGGTGCTGATGTCCTGCATCACTCAGACTGTGGTGTGTACTGACCTCCCAGCTCATCTGACTGGAGAAACAGTGTGCTCCCCCCTCCTTACAGTACCTCTTTTTATAATCTGAGGCTAGCTACCTGGTTGTGAATGACAAGCAATGAACACAAAGTGTTAATTGACAGCAGTAAGGAGAGTCACTGACTTTATCATTCAATCCAATGCCGCCTGACTGTTTTACAGGCTCCAAAGAGTGGACCTGTGATTTAGTGAACGCAGTGAAACAGGCGGTCCTTTATAAATTACTGGAAATATAAAATAGCAAGGTGAGTTATACTGTTAATCTTATATTTACAGCAAAAGAAAATATTTTTTTTCTTGGCAAAGTCAGGTTTAATAGTTCCTTATTACCAAAGGCAGTTATGGTTAGCCTGATAGGGTGTCATACAAGACTTCTTTCATGTATTGCGTGTTTATAGCTACCTGGTTAAAAATGGAGTTTCACTACAAAATAGACTGATATAATCTCCAATGAAACAGACGAGCAACTTCTCACGCAATTCTGATTAGAAATACCCAAACAGAACTAAAAGTACTGAAGTACTAAACTTCGAATCTCCTGAAGATTTCACCAAAGATAACGATATAGCCACAATGCCCTGTATCCAAGTCATAAAAAGCTAGAAACACTCAATATGACAGAGAATGATTTTCTTTATGCAAAACTATTGTACACAAAACAGTGATCTATCTATGCAACAGCTTGAATCCTATCTACGTTGTCCCACCACTCCTATCTTGGAGTCCCTGCACTAGTTTCATTTTATATTTTACATACAGTATCATAGCCCTCCAGTACCTATTTAATATGTTATCTGTTTATTCACACAAAACCTTTGCTCAGATCATTTATCATTTATTGCTCCTTCTTGTCTGCAATCTGTGGGTGATGGGGTTTTCTATTGCGTTTGCCCGTAGATTTTGAACACCAAACAAAAGAAATCAGGACTCATTGCTTTTAAATCTAGCCTAAAATCCTACCTGTTCAGACAGACTGTTTTAATGATTACCTTCTGCTTAGCTTATTTAGCTTCTTAATATCCTTAATTTCCTATTTAAAAATACGCTTTGAACATATGCAAAACACTTAGAGAAAAATGCATCCATAAGAGATAACAGGTAAAGTAGTTATTTTTAATGTGCTTAGTCCCCGTAGCCGAGTTTTGGGTAGTGAAGATGCAGTTACAGGGTCTTACCTGCAGAGGGGGCAGGTGAGGCGGCTTTCTATAGCCCGGCCCCGCAGGCAGCTGGCGCAGAACGTGTGGTAACAGTCCAGCAGACAGGGCTGTTCGTACTGTTCGTGACAGAGGTGGCACACGAGAGGGTGGCAGTTGGCGCTGTCCAGATCGTAGAGGTTATCCAAAGGGGTAAAAATTCCTCCGGACATCTAAAAAGAAATGAGATAAGGAAACCTGACAACATTCTCTTAAACAACTCTCCGAGAGTCAACATTGTAACACATCAAGACACAAATCAATGCAACAAAAACTAATTGAGCCGCCGAACAACTAACCGGTTTTAAATTAAAGGAAAAAAATTGTACAATGTTATTATCACCTATCTTTAATTTATCTAGCTTTGTAATGTTAAGTCTTGCATGACGGTATTTTCAGTCTCACATTGTTTTTTTTTAATTTAATGTTTGTAGGTGGTATACTATGTTCATAAGAGAAGAAAAGAAATATATTTAAAAGAATAAAAGAAAAAGAAAAGAAAGATATTTCGTTTTATAGTATCTTTTCTGAAGTTGTTAAGTTTGACAAGGCAAAACTATTCAGGATTCACCAAAAATACACCATTGAATGGTGAAAAGGTCTGTTTTTAAATGAGCTGTGTCAACCTGTTGGAGTGATCTTATTGTATTGCATTCTGGGATATGATGAGATTTCATCTCAAGCCAAACACTAGTGGTGTTATTTATTGAAATGTGTCAGATATCAGGATCAGGGTAGTTCTGTTAATAGTATATGATTATCTACAGTATTGTACACTGACGTGTTTGCTACACGAGGATCCATTCAGAGACAGATGACGCCCTCAAAACATAAGAAAAAAAAAACAGGACAACTTTTGCTTTCCCAGCAGCACAACGTATCCAGCAATCAAATCATCCTTGAAGGTTCCTTCTCCCAAAACATCAATCATCCCTCATTTGCCTCCCCCTTTTGTGCCCTCCCCCCCCCCCCACCCCCAAACGAAACCATTCGTAAGGAGCATCGAAGACAGCACCCAGGCAGGGTCACCAGCCACTACACGATTTTGAAGACTGCGTCTTTTTCAGCCAGATTTTACAAATAAAACGCTGAATGGGTGGCAGTGCTGGTCACTTACCTTGCTGTTGTCCTATCTGCTGGCCCAGGCTGGAATGACAGAAATGTGGGAGCTCTTGGAGTGTGGCTGGATGGAATACTGGCGCTGACGTCAAGCAGCCACCAGCTCCCAGCAGTCCTTGCAGCAGGCGGTGGGGGTAGGGTAGTAGTGGTGCCTGAAGTTCAACAAGCAGCTATGGATGACAAAAGGGACACCAGATACTGCTGCTCTGTCGGCCGGGGGACAAAAATAATTCTCCCCCCTAATCCTTTCCACCCCCTCGTCCAATAACCCTGGTGGTAAGATTGCCAACTCCTGTCCTCTGACCCCTACAGAAATGGCGCGTGCTCTTCAGAGCTTGATGCCTTCCTGTGGGTTACAGGTTTATTTTCTATCTAAATCAAAACAACCCATGTTTTCTGCTGCCCAGTGTTTTGTGCCCCAGTAAGCCTTTGTGTAGCTTGTGTATTGAATATTGCATATGAGGGCCAAGCAAGCTGGTCTCTGTATGCTGTGTTCATGTAATACAGGATCTGACTGCAAAGCACACAGGTTGCATGTAAAGTACAGTGTCTCACCCTAATCTGTGTAAAAATGTATATGGATTATAGTCAAATTCCAGTAGAATTAAACAGATTTTATTTATATAGATTTTTGCTAAATTATTTAAATACATTGAAAGATATCCACTATAAGGCAGAATGACAGTAACTTTAGTTTACTACTTCAGCTTCTTCAATCATGATTCTTCCCATTCTCCTTTATTGTTAACTTTTAGTTATTTTATTAATACAATTATTAGTTCTTAATAATTAGTTATCAGTTATTTCTTCATTAAAAACACTTTAATCACAAGAAATATACCATTTAGCTTAAGATTCTGAAGTTACTCATATTCTGTCTTGAGAAGTGCTTTCTTTAATGAGAGCTCTTAATGTAGTTCAGGTGGGTAGCTGCGTCAGCATGCGTAGGCTGCAAAGGAACAAGTAATCGGTTTATTCTATGCTGAAAAAAAGAAGAAAGAAAACACAACGTTTCGGCCGTGGAGCCTTCTTCAGGTGTGAGAAAGACAAGGCAGTAAGCAAAGGTACAGTAAGCAAAGGTCCCGCTACATTACCTTTGCTTACTGCCTTGTCTTTCTCACACCTGAAGAAGGCTCCACGGCCGAAACGTTGTGTTTTATGAGCTCTTAATGGTGTTAACTTCTGAGTGATGTCATCATTATATTTACCCATCATTATCTTTGACAGCATGCTGTCAAGGGTCACCCCAAGATAAACAGGTTTAGCATGACGATTGGATTGAATGCCATTCCTGTTGACAGTTCTCCATTTTGTTGATTCCTCACTGTTGATGAAACTAGGAACACAGACAGAAAAACTTGTGCTTTTGATCTTCAATGCACTAAGTGAGATTTGGTGTACAATCTACCCATACGGGTCTGGAGATGTGGTGCTACTCAGAGAGTGGAGAAGAAATAGTATAGTTATAGACATTTCTACACTCCACGTTCTCATGAATGATTCAACAACAAAACTAACACTTGTATGTGGATTGTTTTGTTTCAATTTTATTACTCACGTTCTAAATACTAAACACATCCTGTAAATCCGTGCTTACTGTAGTTGATTCTTAGGAAGTTTTTCCCATGTCTTCTCTTGAAGTGAGGTCGACTTGAATAGAGAGATCTGCTAAATAAAATAATAACGAAAAATCATAAAAGGTTTCCTTCCAAGAAAAACTCACAAATTAAGAAAACAGCCGCTGTAATCAATCTCAGATCTACGGATAACATCGATTATCTCTGGTTTGGATTACACCAAACCATTTCCTAGCTGGCATCAAAGCGCATGCGCGTAGTTTGCCTCTTCCTTTCTGCCATAGTTGTGCGTCATGGCGACCATGGTCAGTAAAGTCGTGCTTAAATAAATGTTAAAATGTCCCTGATATTCTTGCTCGAAATCGGTTTGTGGTTGTGTGTGCCGTAGTCTAAGATACGTGGGGTCACGATTCCAAGTGGAAACTTTCTCTGGGTGGCAGGATCATGATGTTTGTGTACGTTTTATACGGGGTTGAAGTGCATGGGCCCTGTCTTTTCGGAAGCATGCTTTGTGAGTTGAGCGGGTGCTGTACGTCCAGAGCGTGTGAGGAGCTTTTTTTTTTGCTAAATAAGTCCTTTCAACACTTATGTTGTGTGTGTTTCAGTTGTTTACTTGTATTTACGATCTTTGAGTTTTCTATACATGTAAGTGTTGCACTAGAAGTGTAACTTGTAACAGTATAATCGGGAATTAGTGGTGTGATTGAACTGTGTAATGGGGGATGGGAGATACGGGGCTGTATAAGGTAAGTAATCTAATGATTCTTATTACTAATTTAACTTTTATTGCCGTGATGCAAAAATCTGAGAAATCTTCATGCATCGCACGAAGTTGAGGATTTTGAGTCAACGATTCCGATGAGTACAGTGGCAGGATATTTCCATATGCCGGAGGTTATATTTGGGAAAACAGCATTTATAGGGTTTAGTCCACAGGTTGAGTGTCTCTACGTTTAATTAATCCGTTGTGTGACTTGTGAAGGATCACAAACTGACCGCGTTTTGGAGCAGACGGTTTGGTGAACAGTCGGCGAAGCTAGGCCGCAGCGTGCCGTAAAAAGCCCATCTTTAATCGTCACTGCGGTGCGGATTAGTCTTGAATCCGCGCAGAAAAAAAAGTTGTCTAAAAAGTGCAGTTAACGTGGTCTGTGGTCTGTCTTGGAGCTTCGCCCGTGTTTTTGAATTGTATTTTATTCGTCTGTTCTCTTTCATGATTTCGTCGTTGAAAGGTTTAATGGTTTCTCTTTACATTAAGAGAAATGGCGCTTATTTTAACATTAAATGTTGCAGCTTTTCATAAAAAGGCAACGTTTTTTGGGATTAGTTCACATAGGACAAATCAAGGATATATTAATGTTGTTTACTAGCAACTTGTAACCAATGCTTAAAATTGTTTGAAAGGAATGAAGCTGAGCTTTGTTTTTAAGGATTTCATTAAATGTGTAGTTGTTCGTTATGTTGTCCTGTAAGCTGGTCAATGCAAAGCAAATATCGGAGATTTGGGGGAAAAAAAATATTGTACATAATAATGTGTGTATGAGGTATTTCTGACTGAAGTCATCCACAATACCACCACTCTTAGTAAGTGCAAAATGACAACTGTAAATGAAATGAATATCAAGCATCTCTTGAGTGACATGAAAACTATGCAGATTCTGATCTGACGTTGTTGATGTTAGAAAAAGCAAAGCACCAAGGGTGGCAAGAAGAAGAAGCAGATCCTGAAGTTCACTCTGGACTGCACCCACCCTGTCGAAGATGGTATCATGGACGCTGCTAACTTTGTAAGTACTAATAATCGTTGATAGTAATAATCCTTGCATTTATATAGCACTTTTCTGGACACTCCACTCAAAAGTGCTTTACAGGTAATGGGGATCCCCTCCACCACCA